AACGCTTACCCACTACTGTACATACAGTACCCGGCGATAAATATTGCACATCGACCTTTGGAAACTGACAATCGGCTAATTTCGGCTTCGTAGAGCTTTATCTCTGTCACACACTACCTATGTGACGTCCGACCTATAGATACCGGACTGTTTGTATTTCGTGCGACAGAGATAACGCTCTGCGAAGCCGAAATTAGCCGATTGTCTCTTTCCAAAGGTCGATGTGCAATATTTATCGCTGGGTACTGTAAACACTTAACAAGTTATAATAACACTTCCTGTTCGATACATCAACATATTTAATTATAAAGAAGATGTATGAAATTGGGTGCTTGACATCGTTCGTAACACTTATACAAAAATATATAAGTATAACCTACATATTCTTGTATTATAAACGATAAATTATAAGCATAAATAAATGGTTTTTATTTCTGTAATACATGAGTCAATAACTATTTACTAATCTGAAAAACGATTGCTAATGCTTTTACTATTGCTCAAATGAAACGTTTACAAATAATTTCTGTATTTTGTCTATGGCAATACATAATGAAACTATTTTTATAATAATAAATGCGAGTGATTTTACACATAACCTACTAATAACGAAACATAAAATATAAAAAAAAACCTATGTTCTACAAAAATATGATTTTTTGACATAAGCACATATAGTTGCCGACACGAGTCGTGAGGACAGATAAACTGTGGTGGGTGGTAGGTACATTGTCGGGCAAAATTATTGGGTACCTTTATTATTTACTTACCTTATATAGTCAATTCGTAATTGAATATTTTCGTCGACTTTTATGAAAATGTTTACTCGAACTAGTGTACGTTAAACATCGATAGACTATCGATGGTATCGATAGTAAATGGCTATCGATACTATCGATAGTTTTTAAAACTATCGATCGATTGTTTACTCGGGTACTACTTTTACATCCCTAGAGTCGAGGTATGCATGTATGTAAGTTATTCCCCGGCTATAGTGACAAAGGTATAGACATTGAGATTGTTCTCTATGGTAGGAGAATTACCGTGCGTATATCATACATTCAAAGGCGTAGACATTGAGATTCTTCTCTATGGTTGGGGAATTACCGTGCGTATATCATTCATTTACAAGACAAAAGTCAGTCAGTCAGTTTTTTATTGTGGATGTTTGAAGTTGAGTGGAGTAACAAACAATTTAGAATTAAACAATAAAACATGAGTAGTAAGTCACGTGCGTGGGATTACTTCAAAAAGACTAATGAAAAGTTTGCCAAGTGTTCTTTGTGTAAAAGAGAGTTTAAACTAAGTGGAAATACTACGAACTTGATCGATCATATGAAGAGAAAACATAATGAGGTATGGATGTGGTCATCCACTGTTTCTGTTACTCAAGACGTAGATACCACTGAGCAAAATGAGAAAATGGGCCCAAGCCCTAAAAAGAGAAATACGCTAAAAAATTATTTTGATAGAAGTAGTAAATATCCAGATGGGAAAACAAAGCAAAATTTGGATAACAAATACGTGCGCATGATTGCTGTTGACATGGAACCTTTGCGAAAAGGAGAACATGAAGGATTTCGGGATTTTGTAAATGCTCTCGATAGTAGATATGAAATTCCTGATACAACAATATTGAAAAAGAAATTACTGCCGGAATATTATGAAAACGTGAAACAGAAGCTCGTCATAGCATTATCGAAAGCAGAACATGTTAGTGTGACTACTGACTTATGGACATCAATTGCAAATGAAGGCATCCTTTCAGTTACTTGTCATTTCTTTCACAACGAAAAATTAATTGCACCATTATTGGAAGTTGTGAAGATGGAAGGAAGTCATAACGCAGAAAATATAGCCAGTGTAAGTATTTTTAAATTTTATTGCCTTGATACCTACCAATTCAGTGTTTCTTTATAATCAGACATAAACAATATTATTATTGTTTTCAGATGTTGGATGCTACTCTCTCAAAATGGGATATCAGGTCAAAATGTGAAGCAATAACGACTGATAACGCTCAAACAATGATTAACGCCGCAGCCAAACTGCATATACGACATATACCCTGCTTTGCGCACACACTAAACCTGACGGTAAGTGATTCGTTTGCTGTGACCTGCTTAGACCAGATTCTGAAAAAATGTAAATCGATTGTGACTTTTTTCAAGATGAGTACTCTAGCTAGCGATAAATTACGGGCTATTCAACGTGAATTAAATAAACCAGAACTGAAAGTGATCCAGGAAGTACCCACCCGCTGGAACAGTGCATACCACATGCTGCAAAGAATTGTTACAATGAAGACAGAATTAACTCTCGCACTTAATGAATGTAATCGGGCTCCACCAGGAGTCAATGCTGACGAATACCTAATTATTCAAGAAACAATTCAAATTCTGGAACCTTTCGATCTAGCTACAACAAAAATTTCCGGAGAAAGCTATATAACATTGTCACTGATAATACCATTGATTCGTGGAATAAAAACGAAATTAGTAGAAGTTGAATCTCAAATTGTTACTGAAAGCGGAAACAAAATATTACTCTGCATGAAGGGATCAGTTGACAAAAGACTAAGTCCCTATGAAAGCAGGACACCTGTTGTACTTGCTACAATATTGGACCCCAGATTTAAGAAGAAGGGGTTCAAAACAAGTGACGACGAGAAGCGAGCTGGTCAGTGGCTGGAAAAGGCCTATGCTAGCCATTTAACTAAAGAACGCTTGGCTGTAGAAGAAACGCAACCAACACCATCCACGTCTTCAGGAACATCTAATGACCTGTTGGGATTTCTAGACGTTCCGGACGTATCGACCCCGTTGAGTAACTCATTGGTAGATGTCAGGCAATATCTCGAGAAGCCAGTAATTGACAGAAAAGAGTGTCCTATAACATACTGGAAATACACCAACAATAAATTGAAGGAATTAGCGATGCTCTATCTCTGTATTCCAGCATCTTCTGTGCCTTCAGAACGAATATTTTCGAAGGCCGGACAAATTTTAACCGAACGCAGAAATAGGTTAAAAGAAAAAAGATTAAATGAATTGTTGTTTATAAAACAAAATAGCTGTTATTTTAATGATTGATTTCTAACTATAATAATGATGAATACTGATTTTTGATTGTTTGATTGTTATTTCGAATATATATATATCAAAATAAAATTCTACGTTTCGTATAACATTTGTTATTTTATTGATGTTACGCTAATCCTACAAGTTTTTAAACTATCGATAGACTATCGATACTATCGATAGTTTTTAGTTAAACTATCGATACTATCGGATTACCAAACTATCGATGTTTAACGTACAGTAACTCGAACACATCAACTTTTACTTCGATACAGTAATGTTGCAGATATTCGTGTTCATTATTTTAGTATCTACTATAAAGTATTTAATGTATACCTGGTGGTTATAATTGATTATTTTATTAAGAAGAAGGAAGAGGTGATATGCCTTCCATAAAATCTGGTGTTGCGGTGCGCCGTACAGTAGCTACTGAGACATTAGTCACCTCAGCAGTCTGTTTATATACGTCTAAGATGTTTTTCGCAGTACCTAATTTTTTCATGTAACTAAACACTGAATAGACCATTTGTCGAGATTGTCTATTTAACATCGAATTCTTCCTTCCCTACATATTTAGACCAAAATCTGAACACTCAAATTATAACAACAAAAATAATTAAAAACAAGAAATAACAAAAACAATTAATAACAAGGAATACACAAACAACAATTAACAACAAGGTAACAAAAACAATTAACGAAAAATAAACTAATTAAAAAAGTTATCACTAAAATTAATGCTCTGAAGTGTACGGAAGCCGCATGATGCGTTCGAAACCAATAGACGACGAGAATCGACTGATGAACCAATCACGTTGAACGTCAGCGTGGTCAACGTCGTATCGACCAATAAAAAGTGTGTTCACGACCCAATTAACTTTACACAAAGTTTAAATACACCCAACTATAAACCAGTTCATCTCCTTTGTAAAACTGTACTTTTCAAAGGCAATATAATTTTTGTCATAAAATAAAAATTATAAGATAAATTTACTAGCAACTTTTTTACTTTTGTAAGAAAGCCATTCATTATCCTTAGTGTCACAGTGTGCGCAACATTATTACTTTTATTAAACATTTTGTTTTATCGCGTTTAACTTTTCTTTTTGAACAGTACCCACATATCATCTTTATATTTATCGGGCTTATCCTATGATCATATTCTGTTATACAATAAGGGTGACTAACAGGCACACACTACCTCATGGGGGAAGACACTGCTGCCCATCTCTGGGTTTGTTTCCCTCTGTGGCCTCTTACGAAACCTACGGGACTTCCACAGAATAGAATTGGATAGAATATTTTTTATTCAACGTATGATCGTAGATCACATGTATGCAATTCTTATGAATGTAATTTTTTGCTTAACCACAAGTTCGGAAAGTATTACTGTCCTGCGAAGAACCAGCAAAAAAACCCAGCGAGACCTCTTTTTAAAGTAAATTTTACAATATAAACAGATATATATGATAAATTTAATTTGATTGATATTAATAATTCAATTAATAAATTAAATATTGATTACATACAATTCTTACTGAGTCATTTATTACTTTTCTACTGGTTCGAAAATTCACTTCGAAATTAACTTTATAATGTGACTTGTCACAAACTATTTTCAAAATTTATTTTACATACAGTTATTATCAACCATGTATACATTTGTATTATAAATAAACCTTTTCATACATTTTTATTTAATAAAATATTTAAACTTGGTAATAGAGAGCCCTTGTATATTTTCTGGGACTTTGTTGTAATAACGTATACATTGCCCCAAGAACGAATTACTGAATCTGTAGAGTCAACAACCTGGCATCACGAGCTTGTGTTTGTTACTACGGTAAACACCGAGTCTGAGTGTATATCACTTTTTACTAAAACTACCTTCGTATTACAAATAGATATAAAGAGCTAATTTTAATACTGACCAGGTGGTGGCGGAGGCATATGAGGTCCACCTGGCATGTTTGGACCTCCTCCCATTTGGTTGTCACCCTAAAAACATATGTAAATAATTATTACTACTTACACAATACATATTTATGTAAAATCAAGTACTACATTGTGGAAATTCACCTATATTTAAGGTATGAAAATTTATTACAAATCATATATTATATGAAATAGGCTGTAATGTCAAAAGCAATGGTATAGACAGTAGTCTAATGAATAAAGATATGAACTTAAAATCTAAAAAGTCGTGGGTTCAAATTCGTCATTCGACTATTACGGTGAGCCTTTTTCATCATGATCATCATTAGATCCCTTCACACAAATTCACTGCTGAATATAGGCTTCTGCGAAGAAATGCCATAACGCACGGTTCTGAGCTACTTGTATCTATCTACTCTATGCACATCTTACCAGGTTATCATTTTATCTAGTGGGGTGCTGCCCTACTCTTCGTTAACCGGTACGAGACTGTCACTCGAGACTTCGAGCTATATGGCCACTTCAGATAACCCGACGGATTAGTAATCCGTCGTGTTCTGTCAGTTATTCTGGTTCTGTTGCGGATATCCTTATTAATAAGTCTATCATACAGAGCAACTTTGAGTACAGTGTTACTTTTTGAGCGCTCTCTGCAGCTCGCTGAGTTATCTTGAGCTTTTTAATATGGGGTATGGGCCCCAGCAGTGAGGGATCAAATTTCTGATTCATAAGTTATCTTTGGCAACATGCGGTGGTCGAGAAGTTTGAAATTAAGTAAGAAAAGTTCTCAAGAAAGCTGTCCACATGTAACGTCGATGTAATATGCATGTCGGTAGTTGTTGAGAGCACTAAGCTCGAAGTTGTTGACAAGTACGTTTATTCTGGGACCAATAGTCCGAGTAGGTAATTCCAACTTTAACTAAGAGGTCAATCGACGGATTAAACTTGGCTGGGCGGCGTTCGTGAAGCTTTGCTCAGAGTGGTTAAGGGGGTAATGATGACAGCGTGACAAGTATTGTAGTAGTGTAACAGCGTGCGTACCTGGTGGTGCTGGTGGTGGGGGTGCGGCGGCTGTAGGTGCGGCGGCGGGAAGGCGGGCGGCAGCGGCGCGCTGCCCGGCGGCGGCGGCTGGTTGCTGGCCACGCCCGCTGCAACACCGACACACACATGCCACATTTTGCCACACTAACATATACCATAGAATGGGTGCGTTGGGCAGAAAAAAGCGCTAGCAAGCGCTTGTAAGCAAAATGCGAAACAAAACAGTTTTCGGCCAGGACACGTCTGCTAACTTCAGTAGCGCTGACACAATCCGCCATTTTGCTTATTTAATTTGTTTGTTTTGAAGTAGAGTTTATAAGTAGTTTTGTGCAATATTAGTTTTAGGTAATATAATGACATGAATAAACATATACATGTTAATAAAAATTCATGATTTGTAAGTTTTTAATATGAATACTTTACAAACATATTATATTTAAATTAAGTTAGGTTCCCCGGTTAAAACTAACTACGTGTCCTAGAGGAACATAGCTACTTACGATTTGCCAGCGCTTACCGCTTACGATCGTCATTTTGCTTACAAGCGCTTAATACACCTACGACTGGTCTGGCGCCATGACTGTTAGAGGAAAACTTCGGCGCCCCCCCGTTATTAAACTTGGTGGGGAATCAATCAAGGCTGTGACTACCGCTAAGGTACTAGAAGTGGTTTTGGACTCAGGACTATCATTTGTGCAACACTCTTCTGATATCTCTGAAAGAGCGACTAAGGGATTCGGCAAAATGACTCGCGTATCGACATCGTCATGGGGCATGAGATACCCGAGTTTAAAAATTATCTATAGAGGAGTGTTTGTGACCGCGCCCAGAGAGGAGTTGAGCGGACGAAAGCGCGAAATCTGGACTGAGGTGATTGGCGTATGGCAGAATCGATGGATGAACGAAACGAAAGGACGTGAGTTAAATCGATTTTTCCCAGAGGTGGCGTTGAGACTCAGGTATACCTGGGTTTCACCGGACTATCAAACATCCCAGATTCTCACTGGACATGGATGTTTTCGGAAAAGACTGCATGACATGCGACTGTGTGAAACCAGTATGTGTGAGTGTGGTACGGCAGAGGAGGATGTTCACCATGTTCTATGGAAATGTCCTCTGTATGACGATCTAAGAGCGAAAGCGTTAGATGGGTTGGTTCGAACGGTTCAGGGACTGATTTACTACACGGATCTCTCGTCAGCGATGGGGTGAACTACGGGTAGTTGCGTGAGTTTGCGCATAGGTGGCACGATCGCAGGACAAGGCAGGATAGGATGCTGGTAGGAAGGTCCGACGACGTAGGCGTTATTGTGCCGTCAGCCCCAGAAGGGGGAGAATGACGTAAAACTGGGACAAGGAACAGAACAAATATTTGTAGGGAGTCAAGAAAGTACGCGCGGGAAGGAGCAAGGTGCAAGTACCGCGCGCATCTCCCGAGATTCGGCCCGTATGACCTGAGGGTCGGTGGGGCCATGGGAGGTGGTGGTCTGGCGCCATATTGTGGCGTCATAGCAGTCAATTCAAACCAGTTGTACAGGGTGAGCAAAATAGATATTTTTGAAATAATATTTATTTACAAAACCATGAACGAAAAGTATTAATCTCAATCTAGCATCATCATATCATGACTGTTGCATTCCCATATAAAAATAGAACATTAATGTAGGTATTTTCAAGGTCATTGACACTCCTATTCTTATTTGAATCGCATTGTATATACAATCCGTTCACAATTATTTTACACCTGTGTCGTTTTAGCTCTGTGTTACCATAAGAGGTTTGTATAATTCCCTTGAACAAAATATTTTAGTAGTAGGCACTTTTAATAACACTTCATTTGTATAATAATAGGTAGCTATTCTATGCTAACAAAAAAAATTTAAAACTTCCATTTATTTTGAATAAGAATGATCCATACGAATAGCTAATGTCGATAAGTTACAATCTTATGAACATAAATCATCAAAAATGCTATCAGATTCTGTATCAGACTCGGCATTCAATTATATAATGACAAACTTGACCATTTCAGAACCTATACCTATACACCCATCAGTTTTAAAAACCGATCTTCAATGTGGCGCACACGTTCGCATTGCCTTTACCAGTCTTCTGCACTAATAGATTGTAAAGCTTCTTCGGTTAATGTTACTATGTCTATCTTATATTTTCCTGTCCAACGTACTTACTGGCTACACGCCTCTTCAAAAGGCTCCAGAATATAAATTTTATGGCACGCAACTAGCAGTAGTTACTGTAGAAGTGTAGCCACTTTGTGTCCATGCGCCTCAAGCAATTGATCAGTTTCATATATTGGAGCTTCTTTATGCTCTTTTAACCAACTTCACGAAAAAGGAGGTTCTCAGTTTTGACCCGTATGTTTTATAACTTCATATAATTGAACTTTCACCATAGTAGGCACAAAAAAGCCCCTTATTTGTGACCCAATTTTGTGTATCAGCTTTGGTAGAACTCAATATTGGTGCCTTTTTCATCTTTACAGAATCATCATCATCATTACAGCCCTTCACAAGTCCACTGCTGAACATAGGCCTCCCCCAAGTAATGCCACAAAGCACGGTCCTGAGCCACCTGCATCCATCGACTTCCTGCATGTCTTACCAGGTCGTCACTCCATCTAGTGGGGGGTCGCCCTACACTACGCCTACCGGTACGAGGCTGCCACTCGAGAACCTTTCTTCCCCATCGGTTATCGGTTCTTCGAGCTATATGGCCGGCCCATTGCCACTTCAGCTTACTAATCCGTTGGGCTATGTCGGTCACTCTGGTTTCACTACGGATATCCTCATTTCTGAGTCTATCACGCAGTGAAACTCCGAGCATAGCCCTCTCCATAGCTCGCTGAGCGACCTTGAGCGTCCTCTTACGGCCAGAGGTGAAGGACCACGTCTCAGATCCGTAAGTCACCACTGGCAACACGCACTGGTTGTACACTTTAGTTTTCAGAGATTGAGGTATACCTGATGAGAAGATGTGTCGTAATTTCCCGAACGCTGCCCAGCCGAGTTGAATCCGTTGATTGACCTCTCGGTCGAAGTTGGACTTACCTAGTCGGACTATTTGTCCCAGGTAAACGTACTCGTCAACAACTTCGAGCATAGTGCTCCCAACAATTACCGGCATAGGTGTGACATGGACATTAAACATGATCTTTGTTTCGTCCATGTTCATCTTAAAACCTATCCGTTGGGAGACACCACTGAGGTCATTGAGCATAGTGCTAAGGTCCTCCAGCGATTCTGCCATAAGGACTATATCGTCGGCAAATCGAAGGTGAGTGATGTACTCGCCATTGATGTTAATACCGTATCCTTTCCAGTCCAGTAGCTTGAAAACGTCTTCCAACGCAGCGGTGAAGAGTTTCGGGGATATAACATCACCCTGTCTTACACCTCTCTGCAGTTGGATAGGTTTCGTACTCTGGTTCTGTACTCGGATAGCCATCGTAGCCCTACTGTACAAGCACTTCAGCACTTCAATATACCGACAGTCAACTAGGCACCGCTGAAGAGACTGTAGCACCGCCCAAATTTCGACGGAATCAAAGGCTTTCTCATAGTCCACATACGCCAGGCAAAGTGGCAGATTGTACTCTTCGGACTTCTGTACAATTTGCCGAAGGGTATGTATGTGGTCCATGGTACTGAAGCCTTTTCGGAAACCGGCTTGTTCGGGAGGCTGGAAGTCGTCGAGTCTGCGTGCGAGACGATTCGTAATGACTCTCGAAAACAGCACGTAGACGCGGCTCAGAAGGGAAATCGGTCTGCAGTTCTTCAAGAGAGCGTTGTCGCCTTTCTTAAAGAACAAGACCACCGCGCTTCTGCTCCACGCCTCTGGAGTGATGCCACCATGGAGGACGGAATGGAAGAGCTTCTGAAGGACTTCAAGTACCGGTGTTCCACCCGCTTTCAGAAGCTCCGCTGTAATTCCATCCTCGCCCGGGGCCTTGCCGTTTTTAAGGTGGTGGAGAGCCATTCTAATCTCGCTCAGACTGACGTCCGGGATATCATCGGAATAGTGTCGGATAAGACTTGCTCTTGGATCGTTACTCACACTTGCGTGTGGCTCCAACGATGATGTGTACAGCTGCCCATAGAACCTCTCAATCTCACTCAGAATCTCAGGTGTCCCGGAAACGATGTTGCCACACTCAGTCTTCAGCCTTGACAGTTGGCTCCTTCTGGCAGACAGATCTCTGGCAAAGACTTTGGAGCTCTGGTTCCGCTCGATCGCTTCTTTAATACGAGCAGTATTAAAGTTGCGTAAGTCTCGCCGCATGCATTTGGAGATCTGTCTGTTCAGCTGCCTGTATGCTGTCAAATCTGTTGACGATTGCAGCCTCATCTCCCGTCTAACAGCCATGAGATTAAGAGTGTGATCGGAGAGTTTTTGTGTTCTTCTGCGGCGGGTCTTGCAGAACTTAACTCCGACCGCATGGACAGTTTCCACGAGCTTGTCATTCATATCGTCCACTGCATTGCAATCCTCTAGGCACTGAAAGCGGTTTTGTAACTCGAGCTGAAAGGTTTCGGGATTCTGGATTAGAGCACGAGGGGGACGGAGCGTTGACTTCTACCCATTCTAACCATTCGGTAATCGCTGCCAGTTTTCACCCTTGTGATCACTGAACAGGTGGCGTCTGGTCGTCATAATGAAATCAATCTCATTTTTTGTCGAACCGTCCGGGCTCGACCAGGTCCACTTCCTGTGGGGCCGCTTCTGAAAGAAAGAGTTCATCATAAAGAGTCCCTCTTTCTCCATAAAGTCGGCCAGCTGCTGGCCCCTTCGGTTCCGTTGCCCTACTCCAAATTTCCCTACCTTCAGCTCACCGCTTTCTCTTGTGCCCAGTTTTGCGTTGAAGTCTCCCATCAACACCGTGTAGTGGGTTTTGGAGGAATGCATGGCTCTGGAAATATCCTCATACATTTCATCCACCTCCTCATCGGGATATGCCGAGGTTGGTGCGTAAACCTGTATGACCTTCAGCGAATACCGTTTGGTGATTCTGAATATCAGGTACGCGACTCTCGTCGACACACTCCCAATCTTTACAACGTTGTTGACGAGAGACTTGTGGACGATAAATCCGACACCTCCTTGGGACAGATGGTCGCCCTCCCGGTGGTAGAACAAGTTGCCGGACTCGAGGATTGCCGTATCCTCCCCCTCTCTTCGGACCTCGGATAATCCAATAATATGCCAGCGCAACTTGTCTACCTCTTCTTCCAGCTCCAGTATCTTCTCGTCAGTCCTCAGGGTGCGTGCGTTATATGTTGCCAGGTCGAGTCGTCGTAGGTGGCAACCGAACCTCCACCGGAGATTCTTAGCACCCCCTGCCCCGCCGTTACCATGGTCGCCACCGTATCCAGGAATAGCGGGGCCGCCGGGGCCTGGGGGCCATTTTTTTGCGTCATTATTCATGGGGGGATATTTGCCATAGTTGCCACGCTTGGTGAGCGGGTTGGCAACCGCAGTTTTTTGTTATAACACAGTTGTTATCAGGAAGATGCTGCTGCCTATCTCCTGCCTGTCTCCCTCAGTCGCCTCTTACGACATCCACGGGAAGATATGGGGTAGTGGATATTCTCAACCGCCACTACACGGCATTTACAAAATGATAGGGCGCATTAGCATCACTATTAAACTTTTAGGCGGTAAATTAGGATTAGGTAAAGTTTATCTTGTGTCCATTTCATAACATTTGATTCGCGTCGTGGTAGTCGTCCGACTTCGACTGTGATTTAAATATGAATTACGCATTTAGTATAAAGCCCATTTCCCCACCTGCATGAACAATAATCCCGCGTGCTCCAACTGAATCACTGCCTTCTTCATTTTCCATTTGGTAACATTTTTCATTTTCATTTTATACATGGTAGAGCCACGCTGCGGCTATTATGGTTGTAGCACGAATGGGTCGGCTCGACCGGGGAAGGACCACGCTCTCACAGAATATAAGCGTAAAATAGCAGCTTGATGCTGGTGGGTTTCGTACGGTGAGTGTAGAGAACCGGAGGCCCGTTTTACTGGATCTTGGTCCTCAAGCGTGACAACGTATCTGCATTTTGATTTTTAATCGAAGTTAAATGTAGACGTCTATGGGCTACAGCATCCACTTACCATCAAGTGGATGGTGTGCTCATTTGTCACCCTTATCCCATAAAAACCAAAAATAAAAAAATCATCCTTTACATGTACCTCCAGGCTACATTGTCATATCGTTTCATTATTACTTTTCTTTTAAAGCCAATTTTTTTTAAATCGTAATCCTATTTATCGGATTATTTTCCATAATGTCCTACGACCTCTATTAAAAATGATATCAATTTTACACTAAGCTAATAATTTACCCAAAGTATACACCTCTTTTCTGACTATGTCCATTTGATGTATTTTATTTTTGATTGCACACAGATCAAAATCAACCAATTCTATTTATTTTTTGTTGATTCCGTTTTTTATGTGCGGGCATTTTTGTAGATGTCGAAGCAGCAAATTCGCTTTCTTTGGTAATAATGATGACGGTTTTTTCAGATATACGTGAAATATGAACTGTCACATAAACACTTTTTTATATTGTATTTATGGAATATATATTTTTTAAACACAATATTTTATTAATTAAATTACTTCGTTGCTTAAATTTAATTGAATTAAATTATTAATTTGATACAAAAAATTACTATGCTTACTATTTCTAGTTGTAACGGAACGCAACGTATTAAAAATCGTGACCAAAATACATAATTTTAGTTTTTGCTATTATGGAAAAACACGAATAGCAGTAACACTTATTTTTCACCCACATTTTCTAATTTTGTTTATATATAAAAATCAAATGGAATTATTAGGCCCTTATTAACTTTTTCTTGTTCGCAACACTTGCGCAGTGATAGCACAATTTTTCTGCCGCTACTTTGAATCCTTTTTGACATATAAAGAGATTAATAATAATCACCGATACAAGGGAAAAATCCAAGAAGCTTTTCAATACGCCTGCATTACTGGACAAGTAACGCCAATCTACCTAGAAAATACAATTACAGATGTCAGAGGTAGAATAACTGTGAACGGACAATACAAGGCGAGACCAGTGACAGCTCAGGTGTAAACTGTATTTCAATGGCATGACTCATACCTTGAGTAAATAAAAAACGATCGTCCAAAATTGCCACACGACGTCGATGTTGGAGAAGACCCCGAAATAAATGGTGCTAATAGTTACCGAGCCAGGGCGCGGGTTGGCCAGGTTGTCCGGGTTGTCCGGGCGGTCCGGGTTGTCCGGGCTGTCCGGGTTGTCCCGGCGGGGCGGGTTGAGTATGCGGGGGCAGGGGAGGCGGGAATGCACCCGGCGGCGGCGGCAAAGATGGCGGGATATTACCTGTCAACAACACATCAAACTTCTTAAGAGCCTCTCTAAACAAATAAATATAAATTAAAAAAGAGAGACAATGTTAAGTTTAAGTACATTTCTAGATTATTCATAGCTATCTTTTTTTTATAGAAGAGGGAGTAAACGAGCATGTCGCTCATCTGATGGTTAGTGTCGACCGCCGCCCATTAACAACTGCAACACCAGGGCTGTTACAGATGCGTTGCCGGCCTTTTAAATAATAATAACCTCTTCTCTTGAAGGTCCCTAAATCGTAACATTCCGGAAAAATGGCTAATGGTAGTAGATTTCACAAGGAAGTTGTGCAAGGAAGAAAACTTCTAAATCGCACAGTGGTGGACCGCCAAGCATCCAGATGGTATAGATGGTACCGCGAGTTTTGTCACGATCATCATCATCATCATCATCATGAGAACCCTTCACAAATCCGCAACCGAATAGGCCTCCCCAAGGAATGCCACAAAGCACGGTCCTGAGCCACTTGCATCCATCAACTTCCCGCATGTCTTACTAAGTCGTCACTCCATCTAGTGGGGGGTCGCCCTATACTTCGCTTACCGGTGTTCTCGAAAACCTTAGTTTAGTTTAGTTTAGTTTACGACGGGCTGTTTTCCGCAACTCCACGTCTAAGCGCGTATTTTGCGTGTGGGCAGGAATAATATGCTTATTCGAGTCATGATATCTCCCCGAAGAAGCTCAGCAGTCCCTTGATGTTGCAAGCAACTTCGGGGAGCGATCCCGGCGTGCCGAGATGTTTCTTCCTCTCCCATGCATGCCCTGCACAGGGGGCTGTCAGTGACACCTATGGTGAACAAATGTTTGTTAAAAGAGCCATGTCCTGTGATAGCACTTGTTACTATCCTGATCTGTGGCTTAGTTCAATATCTTCAGTCTCATTAGAACCTTGGCTAGACGACTGTTTATTTCAGGTAGGGCCTTCCCTAGCTTGTCTACAGTCTACAAAAATTTTCCAAAGCTGAGCGTGTAAACTATTGAAGTATCTACGTACCAGTGAATGAACGTAGCCAAAGGGGATTGGTATTGTTGCGCGGCTAAGTTGACATCTGGCACTAGCGCCATCTAGTGTCGGGTAACAGAGCAAGGAGCTTTCCAGAAAATGACATCACTAATCTTTCAACCGACAGCGCCATCTATTGTCGAAAGGAAGAACTAATCTTCTAGAAGCCCGACACTCGAACTTTCGATGCTTAGTCGATTGGCGCGCGTATTTACCTAAATGTTCTGGATTTTTCGGTGCTAAGTTGTATTTATAGGCGCTGCAAGGTGCGATCGGGGAAGTATTGAATTTGGCGAGACAAGCGAAGTTCGGAGCGAAAAAAGTGAATTAGTGTGATTAATTGGTGTTTTAAGTTTTAATTTGTGTAAAGTGAATTAAAGTGTTAATTTAGGCAATTCTATCGGCAATTTTTATTGTCACGAACCTCAAGCTCGTAACAGTATTATTGGTTCCGGCCCTATACTTGCTAGGGCCGATCCCCTTCTGGCCAGTTCATCTGCTGCATCGTTGCCTCTAGATCCACTGTGTCCCTTGATCCATTGCAGAGTCACATTGTTGTGCTTACATACCTCATTCAATCGTTGATGGCACTCGTATATCAGTCCCGAGTTCGTCACATTGCAACTCAGAGCTTGTACTACCGCCATACTGTCGGTCAGTATTCTGATGGAGAAGTTTTTCACCTTCCTAGCATCTATTGCCGCTTGCCCTATTGCTATGGCCGCTTGGATGATACCCATGCATTCAGCCTGGAAGACTGTGTTGTGGGTACCCAGCGGTGTGCATATGTGGATATTAAGGTCTTCAGAGAAAGCCCCAGACCCCACACTTTCATTTGTCTTAGAGCCATCCGTGAAAACTTTGAGCTCTCTTGGACCCAATCCTTCCAGATGGTCAGTTTCCTTCAATTGTATCCTGTACTTCTTATCGAATACAAATTGTTTTGTGATCCTATCATACTTGGCTTGTGAGATAGGAATTTTTGAGTAAATTCTATCGATTATATCTGTATGGGGGACTCTACTCTTACTTAAAAGATTTAGGGTCTTGAGTCTAATGACAGCTAAAGTTGCTTCTTGTTGTATATGTAGATGAAGCGGTGTTAGCTCCAGCATAGCCTCCAAAGCTGCTGTTGGTCGCGAAAACCTTTTTTCCCCATCGGTTATCGGTTTGTCGAGCTATATGACTGGTCCATTGCCACTTCAGCTTACTAATGCGTTGGGCTACGTCGGTCGGGCTACACTGGTTCTACTGTGAATATCCTCATTTCTAAGTTTATCACGCAGAGAAATCCTGAGCACAGCCCTCTCCATAGCTCGCTGAGCGACCTTGAGCTTCGTCATACGGCCAGCAGTGAAGGACCATGTCTCAGATCCGTAAATAATCTTGTTTTCAGGTTTTGAGGTATTCCTGTCGTAATTTCCCGAACGCTGACCAGCCGAATTGAATCCGTCGATTGGCTTTTCGGTCGAAGTTACATAGTCGGATTATTTGTCCCAGGTAAACATACTCGTCAACAACTTCGAGCTTAGTGCTCCCAGTAACTACCAGAATAGGTGTGGACGTTAGACATGATCTTTGTTGTGTCCATATTCATCTTAAGACCTATCCAGAGAGACACTATTGAGGTCATTGAGCAGCGCTTAGGTCCTCCAGCGATTCTGCTATAAGGACTATAACGCGATGCGCGATTGTGAAATTGAACGGCTGGAATTAGTTCGAACAATTCCTCAGAGCACTCCCCATGGTAGATACGATAAAATACGCAAAGAGATGCAACATCTCTCCACAGTGCCAGTGAGTCAAGCCGATCAGAAAGAACTCGGTCACCGACGATTCGAACTGCTCTGCGCTGGATGCGATCAAATGGAAGGAGCTGGCACTGCGGAGCCCAAGCCCAGAGATGAGAATAATATTCCAATGTGTGGCCGAACCCGCGCCCTTTAAAGTTGCAGACGGTGTGCCGGCGTGAAATACCGTCTCGCTCTACTGAGCAAGCTAAGCTTTTTAGAGGCCAATTTGGCCTTTCCTTCCAATTGATCACGAAACATCACGGCACTCGATATGTCGACGCCGAGGATTTCGATACTGGCTGAGGCACTGAGGAGAGTGCCCTGAAACTGAGGAGATAAGAAAAAGGGAGTTGTGCTGGTAAAAGCAACAATTGTGTGAATTAATCGAGATAGTCATTATTACAGCCAAATCGACTGCTGAACACAGGCCTCCCCCAAGGAACATCACAAAGCACGGTCCTGAGCCACTTGCATCCATCGACTTCCTGCATGTCGTATCAGGTCGTCACTGCATCTAGTGGGGGGTCGCCCTACATTTCGTATAATAATAGGCCCTTACATATGAAATTGGAGTTTTGTATGGGAGAAATATAAAGTCCTTTTTTTTGTAAAATATATTTAATTAATCAAAGTATGCACCATTGTTATCTATGCACTTTTGCCATTTCATAGGTAGTTCATTGATCACTTTACTAAAAAAAACCATGGGGGCGAGAATCAATGAACTCTTTGAATGCGGTTTTGACTGCCGCATCGGAGTTGAATTTTTCTCCTTGTAAGTTGTCCAAATTCCGGAAAAAATGGTAATCTGTTGGAGCAAGGTCTGGGGAGTAAGTACGGTGGATGTCGCAGACTTTCAAATTGTAACTCATCAAACTTAGTGGTTGTTTGTTGTGCAGTGTGTGATCTTGCGTTGTCGTGAAACAGCGGTGGCCTAGAGCGATTGACCAATCTCGGTTGTTTAGCAGCTAGTTCTTCCTTCATGGTTTGCAGTAGCTTACAATAGATATCTGACGTAATCGTTTGGCCAGATTTTAGAAACCTGTAGCGAACGATACCGGCGCTAGTCCACCAAATACTCACAAGTAAATTTTTCTAAGTCAATTTTCGTTTAAGGCAGGATTTGGTTGGGTCTCCAGGGTTCAGCCATTGCTATGAGCGCTTCCGATTATCGTACAGTATCCACTTTTCATCACAAGTGATTGAAATAATTCAATTTAAAATTCCTTCATTTTTGTGTCGGTTGAGCAAAGTAACCCAGCAGTCGACGCGTGTTTGCAAGTTCGATTCACTCAATTTATGAGGTACCCACCGTTCAAGTTTTTTTTTTACTTTCCCGATTTGCTTCAAGTGGATTAATACAGTTTTATCACTTAACTCAAAACCTGCAGCTATCTCTGAAGTGCTTTGTGATGGATCCGCTTCCACAATAGCTTTTAATTCTTCATTTTCCACTTTGGTCTCCGGCCGTCCACGGGGTTGGTTCTGAAAGTCGAAATTTCCAGCACGAAAACGTTGATACCAAAAATGTAGGTACCGTGCTTTCTTTTGCGAAACCAGCGCCGTACACATCACTAATCCTTCGAGCTGTTTCTGCAGCACTGGTGCCACGATAGAACTCGTACTCGTAAATATACCGATATTTCATGTTTTCCATTGTGCGGTAATAAGCGACACCAAAGAAAAAATAATGAGGAAAAACAAATGAGTGTCTGTTTTCAAAACTCAAATGTATCAGCTAAATGAATTTATAAATTTGAATTTGGAATTCTTAACCAAAGAGGAAATATTTCAGATCAAAGTGGACAGTACGACAAAACACTAATTTCATATGTAAGGACCCAATATATTCACTTCGTTTACATATCCACTATGTTACTTAAAATCATTTTAAAGGAAGTTACAAATTTATTTTTGTTAATTGGACAAATGAAATTTAAAAACAAATATTGAATTTTTTTATATATCACATATGTTCTTCATATTGTTCTACAAAGTCACCCAATTCTGAGCTGGTTCCAAATTTTAAGTCTCTTGCTCATCGGGAAGTTACTTTAAAATCAATTACTCCTTTATTAACCTAATTTTAACCTGGATAGATACACGAAAGAGTTTACAAACGTAGTAAAATAGCATTTATCAACTATTAATGCATCGCATTTTAAAAAAAATCATTCATGACAAGTGTGGCAAAAGCAGAAAAGCCCCCTCAGTTGGAAGCCTATTTGTGGAGTGTTATGAACTAATGAAGCAATGTTGACTCACCAGGCGGCGCCATAATAGCTCGTGGCGCGTGCGTGGGCTGAAACAGTCCAGGCGTGGGCCGGCGCGGCCCGCCCACGCCCACGCCGGAAGTGGGAGGCGCCTCGCCCAGCTCTGCCATCAGCGACATGTACTCCTCGTCGATCTTCGCCTGTGTTAAAACATTATATTATTATTTAAAACTTTTTTATACAATAAGAGTGACAACCTAGCACACATGCCACCTGATGGTATGGGGATGCTGTGGCGTATACACATATACATTTATTCTCGCTGGTATTCTGTGAGTAACATTATGATTTCCTAAAAATGTTGATAATAATTTCTGTATTATTTTATTTTTTACCGTTACCGTTACATCTTATTTAAATCCACTGCTGAACATAAACCTCCAAGCGCCATCTGCCAAGCGTGCCAGGTCACCAGGTGACGCTTGGAGTTGGCAACCGCAGTTTTAGTTTTAGTTGTAATTAGGAAGACACTGTTGCCCATCTCCTGGTTTATTTTCCTGAGACGATATGGAGTAGCGGATATTCTTACAGCGCCAATAGACGGTATAAAAAATATGTACTATCAGAATACAATTTCTAAAAATTTTGATCATGAATTCTATACTGTTTTGTTTTATTACTACTAAATAAAACTAGGACCAAAAACATATAATACAATAATTATTGGATCCAATAAAACACTGTAATTTAGGTAAATACGTGTATTGTTCTAGCTAAACTAATTAGAAATTGGTTGACTTATTTATTAATAATGTTACTTAAATACCCAGTCACAACTATTTATGACAATCTATGATGTAACAGTATCAAAAATAAGTTTATTCATGCTAAATCTGTAAGAAGTGTTGTTTAATGACGTGTGGTGCGTAAGAAGCGAAAGATATGTGGCTTCTGATCGATGGCGGTAGAACCATCTCATTTCCACCAAATCTGACCCCCTATAACTTCGTATTCAATAAAACTAGAAGCCTCAATTCAGTAAACGAGTAGGCATTGTATAAAGATAGTATATTTCAAAATTCATTCAATTTGAACCAGTAGTTTAAGATTTATAACTAGTCAAAGTTTCTTAATTTTGTCACTCAGTGAATGACCGATCATCAAAACTCTAAGGCACTTCTAGCAGACGTAGAAGCTTCAAATTTAGAATACATTAGTGTTTAGTGTATAAATCAAGGAAAAACAAAAATATTTGTTAATTTCGATCCAGTTTTCTAGATACAAGAACTGCATAAATAACTTTGTAATTCCATATAAATATAAAGAATTACAAAGTTACATTTGCAGTGAATGAATCAGTATACTTGTATATATAACAGGTGTAGATAAGTACGTTGTTGGTATTCAAGAAGTAGAAGGTACGGGAAAGGTAAAAAGTAGGATTATCTTATCTACAAAAAGAAATGAGAAGCCATCCAAAACACAACTTGTAAAGAAAAACCGTACAAAGTTGTGAGATCCATGTAATACCAAGTCGGTTAATTTATTCAGTTCCTAAAGGGTCCTTCCGTTTTAAGTTATTACGTAATTAGATAACCTAACAACGTTTTATAGTGACCATATCAATGTCAAAAATATTTTATGTTTTAAAGATATAAATTGACTTGGCAATAACAGATATAAAAGATTTTTAAAATCGATATGGTCACTATAAGATGTTGTTAGGTTAGCTAATTAAGTAATAACTTAAAACAGAAGGACCCTTAAGTAGGAACTGAATAAATTAACCAACTTAGTATTACATGGATCTCACAACTTTTTACGGTAGAAGAACTGAGTTGCAAAACTTGTTTTTTTACAAGTTATGTTTTTGATGGTATATATTATTATTATGAATGCTTCGATACGCCTTTTTTCCGATACGATACCGATACCGATGCTCTTATAAAAATATCGGTGAAACCGATACCGATACAAGCGTATCGGTATCGGTTTTCTTTGAATTCAAAAATGCAGGTAAAATAAATAAAACACAAGTCACGTTATTTTTAATTAATATAAAAATAACAAATATCAGGACAAACTAAATAAAATCGTTTAAAATAAACCGTTTCGTTTGCAACGAAATAGACGGGACAACACGTGCGTTTACATTACATTTTAAAGCGCGAAGTATCGTTGAATCAGCCATAAAAATATCGCCGATGCCGATGTATCCGTTATGCTAGAAATATGCCGATATATCGGCATATTTCGGTATCGGTATCGAATGTATCCATAATTATTGCATAACCAACCCTAACCAGCGATAGAGAGCAAGCATCAAAGGTGCGAATTTTCTGGTACTGCGTTTGTCAATATGTTAATCTGTCTGTTATCTTGACGATTAAGTTAAATAGTATTTACAATGAGGGCGGCTCATACCCAGAGGTGGGTTTTAACGGGCTAAAGAAGAAAATGTATGTATGAAACCATAGCCAAGGGAACGAGCTTGGGAGAATCAGCGGGGAAAGAAGACCCTGTTGAACTTGACTCCTCCAGTCTGGCATTGTAAAGAGACATAAAAGGTGTAACATAAGTGGGAGAGTACGTTCGCGCGATTTATATTCATCTCACATGTCTCGAAAAAAAAATAATAAATAATGAAAACTGATAAAATTATTATTGATAATTGATAACTTTTAACAAAAGAAAAGTCAATAAAAATCACCAAATGGAAGTAGGAATAGACTTAATCGCCTCCACTTTTTTACATAAAAATTGTATTAAGAGCGTTTATTCAAATTTGCGCAAATCAAACTCAAGCAGGTTCTGCACGACAACAAGCTTCGGGTCCCGCGCCTACGTCACAATGACCGAGTGAAGCCGGCCATAGTCGAGCGTGTACCTGCTATACTACCATATGTCAGAGGTGTCACAGACAAGATTGGCTACATCTTGAAGCGAGCTTCTATTAGAACATTCTACAAGCCGCCGAAGAAGATTAGTCAGTTCTTACCATCCGTCAAGTGTCATATTCCTCTACAAGATGCAGGAGTGTACAAGCTTGATTGTGATTGTGGTTTCTCATATTTAGGGCAAACAAACAGATCAATTAGAACCCGCGTAAAAGAACACATAGCTGACGTAAAGCAACAAAGTTCCGGGAAGTCTGCAGTTTGCGAACATATCCTAAATGGCCCCAACCATTACATCAGATTTGATAGACCACAAATCCTCGCGCAAGAACATCGATATTCCTACCAAGGATGATAAGTGAGGCTATTGAAATTAAAAAACATCCTAATTTTAATAAAGAAGGAGGCTGGGTACTACCACCTGCTTGGGACCCTATAATTAATAAAATTAAAACTAAACCCGAGCATACCACTGCAAGACTTCAAAACACAGTTAGTTCATTCTGCGTAGATCGGACTAAAGACAATAATTAAAAAAGCTGAAGGTACTCCGTGTTAACTCTGACATCGGGACATCAGTCACCTCAATCCCCTGTGACCATGGGTGCTGGAAAGCACCCGAAACGTATGGTCATCATCATCATCATAATTACAGCCCTTCACAAGTCCACTGCTGAACATAGGCCTCCCCCAAGCAATGCCACAAAGCACGGTCCTGAGCCACCGGCATCCATCGACTTCCTGCATGTCTTACCAGGTCGTCACTCCATCTAGTGGGGGGTCGCCCTACACTACGCCTACCGGTACGAGGCTGCCACTCGAGAACCTGTCTTCCCCATGGGTTATCGGTTCTTCAAGCTACATGGCCGGCCCATTGCCACTTCAGCTTACTAATCCGTTGGGCTATGTCGGTCACTCTGGTTTTACTGCGGATATCCTCATTTCTGAGTCTATAACGCAGAGAAACTCCGAGCATAGCCCTCTCCATAGCTCGCTGAGCAACCTTGAGCGTCCTCATACGGCCAGCAGTGAAGGACCACGTCTCTGATCCGTAAGTCATCACTGGTAACGCGCACCGGTTGTACACTTTAGTTTTCAGAGATTGAGGTATACCTGACGAGAAGATGTGTCGTAATTTCCCGAACGCTGCCCAGCCGAGTTGAATCCGTCGATTGACCTCTCGGTCGAAGTTGGACTTACCTAGTCGGACTATTTGTCCCAGGTAAACATACTCGTCAACAAATTCGAGCATAGTGCTCCCAACAACTACCGGCATATGTGTGACATGGAAATTAAACATGATCTTTGTTTTTCCATGTTCATCTTAAGACCTATCCGTTGGGAGACGCCATTGAGGTCATTGAGCATAGTGCTAAGGTCCTCCAGGGATTCTGCCATAAGGACTTTATCGTCGGCAAATCGAAGGTGACTGATGTACTCGCCATTGATGTTAATACCGTATCCTTTCCAGTCCAATAGCTTGAAAACGTCTTCCAACGCAGCGGTGAAGAGTTTCGGGGATATAACGTCACCCTGTCTTACACCTCTCTGCAGTTGGATAGGATTCGAACTCTGGTTCTGTACTCGGATAACCATCGTAGCCCTACTGTACAAACACTTCAGCACTTCGATATACCGACAGTCAACTTGACACCGCTGAAGGGACTGTAGCACCGCCAAAATTTCGACGGAATCAAAGGCTTTCTCATAGTCCACATACGCCAGGCAAAGTGGCAGATTGTACTCTTGGGTCTTCTGTACAATCTGCCGCAGGGTATGTATGTGGTCTATGGTACTGAAGCCTTTTCGGAAACCGGCTTGTTCGGGAGGCTGGAAGTCGTCGAGTCTGCGTGCGAGACGATTCGTAATGACTCTCGAAAACAGCACGTAGACGCGGCTCAGAAGGGAAATAGGTCTGTAGTTCTTCAAGAGAGCGTTGTCGCCTTTCTTAAAGAACAAGACCACCGCACTTCTGCTCCACGCCTCCGGAGTAGTGCCACCATGGACGACGGAATTGAAGAGCTTCTGAAGGACTTCAAGTACCGGTGTTCCACCCGCTTTCAGAAGCTCCGCTGTAATTCCATCCTCGCCTGGGGCCGTGCCGTTTTCAAGGTGCTGGAGAGCCATTCTAATCTCGCTCTGAAAATCTGTTGACGATTGCAGCCTCATCTCCCATCTAACAGCCATGAGATTAAGAGTGTGATCGGAGAGTTTTTGTGTTCTTCTGTGGCGGGTCTTGTGGAACTTAGCTCCAACCGCATGGACAGTTTCCACGAGCTTGTCATTCATATCGTCCACTGCATTGCAATCTTCTAGGCACTGAAAGCGGTTACATATCTCGAGTTGAAAGGTTTCGGGATTCTGGATTAGAGCACGAGGGGGGACGGAGCGTTGACTTCATTAGACGAGACCTCTCCAACTTAACGTTTAGGTTCAGTGTGCCTCTAACCATTCGGTGATCGCTGCCGGTTTTCACCCTTGCGATCACTGAGACATCACTGAACAGTTGGCGTCTGGTCGCCATAATGAAGTCAATCTCATTTTTTGTCGAACCGTCGGAGCTCGACCAGGTCCACTTCCTGTGGGGCCGCTTCTGGAAGACAGAGTTCATCATAAAGAGTCCCTCTTTCTCCATAAAGTCAGTCAGCTGCTGGCCCCTACGGTTCCGTTGCCCTACTCCAAATTTCAAACGTCGGGTGTTAAAAATAAAATAAATAAAATTTAATCAATGTGAAAATAGTAATAGCTCTTATGAACTCACAATTCATGCACTTCAAAGAGCACTCTAAAAAAAGAATGGCATAGTTCCAACGGTATTAATACCTCACACCTTGATAGCCTAGATAAAATCCTTGCATCGGACATATAATGTTACTTTATTTATTGAAAACAACAACGACGTACCTACAAACGATTGAAGAAATTGACTAGAGGAAGAACTTTTCCACAAGCCTTTTGCATTTTACTAAATGTAGTTATCTAAGCAGTAGCATGTAAGTTAGATATTGTACTGATTATTATTACAATGCATAGCGCAAACCGGCGATATGCATCAGGCAGTGAGAAAAAAAAACAAGTAAACATGATTGATATCTGCATCTTGCCATGCAATCATATTACGCGCAAAGCAAACTTTGATGTTGCCTATTTAGTCCAAGTTTGGTGGGGAAATATGCAAAGTCGGGCTTTAATAAATTATAAGATATATTCAATTTTGCTGTCAAAATGATCGATCGAAATATAGACTAGTTAGTGAAAATTTGGGACATTTGGCGTCCCGATTCATCGTGGACCGGGACAAATCCCGCACAAATTGGGACACTTGGCATCACTAGCTTATGCTATCGGTGTGTACGTTAACACGTACCTACGCGGGCTGTGGCGGGAAAAAGTGATACGTCCTATCGTTGGGAAGACCCGGAGCGTACTGAATTGGACGGCGTTTGCGCGTGATGATTTATAGTATTTTTAAAATAATCATATAAGATAATTGACTAAATAAAACGATATAATTTTTTTTTTGATATTTAACATTACTGTATTTTGATAAAATAATTAAAATAGATAAGTTTATATCCCAATACACAGAAAAAATGACGTTGAAGTACAACAGTTTTGATGATTTTATAGTATTGTTTTTTAATATTAAATCGAAATATTTTCGTAATTTAAGTTTTGCTATACACTAAAAGACTATATATTCTATTACAATAATGTTTAAAATAAAGTATTTTAGCTTATAATCATGGTTGTATTCCACTTGAAAGATAACTCTGACGCATATTTTCGTAAAACGCTATGAAGGGATTGTCTTCGGTCTAAAAAACAGTCATTAAAAACTATGATTTTCCGTTGCAATGCACTAAATAAAGACTTTATCTTTCTAAATCTATAATTTTCTGCAAATAATTTGCTCACATCGTTACGATATCATCCTTGAAAAAACCCTAAAACATGAAGTTTTCGACGCAAATAGCATATGCCCTCTTAAATTACACTAATGTGTAATGGCAGTATAAGAATATATCTCCACTCCACATCGTCTGTTATGAAATAATCTCTATGTATAATTACATATATAATCTACATCTATATGTATCAAAAATCCACCGCTGAACATTGTCCTTTCTGGTGGATTTTTAATAGGCCATAATGGTGATGTATACAATTTTGATTAAATAGTAAATTATATAATTGTAAAAATTATAGATAACCGATTTGTGTATTGGTTAATGTTTTAAGGGTAAAATTATTACAAATTTAAAAAACTTTGATTAAGGGTTTATACTTCAATCATCAATAATCCACTTATCGTTAGATGGACTGTGTGCTCGTGTGTTAACTTTTTTGTTTAAAAATTTCCTTCTTGTTCTTAGTACTACCTAAAAATTTACTAAAAACCTAGCAAGAACTAAGCCACAGTCTTAGCTTTTTATGGTTGAGTAACGTTTTGTAACACATACCTTGTTGGCGTGATGCAGTATCTGTCCTTGCCCGGGCCGCTTGGCTCGGCAATCTCTCGCAATGTGGCCGGCTCCTCCGCAAGACGAGCACACAATGCTGTTTGTCACGTTCGGCTTGTCTGGACACTGAAAGTAACAATGAGGGCTGATAATCTTCCGTTCACCAGATGTAGCTAGTGTGAACGTAGGTAAGGCGATGTTGCCAGACGAACGTTTTAATCAGACTTTCGTATAAATCCTACCGACGCGGACCAGTGAATTTGCGAACAAGCGAACGACCACATTGCCGCTCTGAAACTCATAATGTAATAAAGTCTGAACACGGTTTAAAAACGTTCATTTTTATAAGATAATATTTTCATTTTTATATTTTTACCTATGAACAAAGTTAACTGTTTCGAAATACTTTCTCGAATAATTTAATTTTAAGTAACGTCATACAGTACAAAATCTTAAAAACACAGCCTTTTGGCTGGGGTCTCCATTTTAAGACGGATTGTGAAGACATACATTATTTATCAATGTGAAACTTACCATCCACGTCTTGTGATCCGTGGCGGTGCAGTTGGCACACCGCGGGCCGTCGTTCTCTCGTAAAGTTCCATTCAGTTGTGCCAATTCCCGAAGTTGCATTCTCCGCAGGTCGTTCTGACCCTCTGGAACCTCCACACCTTGACGGATAACTTCCTTGATCTGGAAACGAATATTTCTTTTATAATGTCATTTATAGTAGCGTTCTATATAAAACTCAGAGGAAGAAGTTTAAGTCCATCATTGAGCTATTATAAAAATAAACAATTAATCATGGGGTAACTTTAGTATCGTAAACAAATATATTGATAAGATGCATCGCTCTTCCTCTCACTGATGTGTTTGCTTCATCTCTCTCTTTTCTCCTTATAATTTTCATTCTCTTTCTCACTCCCACCTACTTTTTCCTTATATTCTCTCTTCTCTTGCCGTCTTTATTATTGATAAATAAACAATATTGAACAAAAACAAATTGATAAAATTAAGTTGAAGCCTCCCTCTCTTTAATCTGTCTCTTACATCTAATAATTTCTATATTTCGACAGGTGGCGTATTGATTAACGTATTTGACAGGTGGCGTATTGATTAACGTGGCGTCTGCACACGCGGCATCCTCTACGATCGCTCCAATTCTTTCTCTCTTTTCGCTCCTTGTCATTCTCGTACTTCCCTCAATCTCACCTTTCTCTAATCCTTTACTTTCGTACGCTGTCCTCTTAGTTTTTTATTGCAATTATCATTCTAATGAAAATTACCTTCTCGACGGCTTTCTTAACACAGTCAGCATTTGTGGCGGTAATGTAGGCGTGTAGGGGCTCGTCCTCACCAGGAAGTGGTTGACCATCCTTGCGGCCCACTTTGCCCTCCTTTACAGAACCTTTTCCACGAATAATGATCTTGGCGCCAGTCTCCTTCTCCATCGCTATAAACAAAATATAAATTCAATAAAATAAAAATGGCTTCTTAATTCATTTTTTAATTTACACAAAAAATCTCTTGTATCATCACGTTTTCAAGATTTTTTTATAGAATAAAGGATGACAACAAGCACACAGTCCACCTGTTGGTAAGTGGATACTGTGGCCCACATCTATTTATCATATCCGCCATTAATAAAAAATACTGACGTGTTGTCACCCTTGAGGACAATGATGGAATTCCTCATATCCAGTAAAATGGGTTTTCTACACTCACCATACGAAACAATGTTGGCACATTAAGCTGCTATTTTACGCTAGTATTCTTTGAAAGTGTGGTCCTTCCCCGGTCGAGCCGACTCATTCGTGCCACAACCATAATTAGTTGCAGCGCGGCTCTACCACACACAACATGTTGCAAACATGAACTGCACAAGGAGGAACATTAAGACCTGGAACAATTATTTGTTCGCTATACACTTGTTCCGTAATGGTTTCGATCTTCAGCGCCGCAAACGCATTGCTTAGCCACTGCGATACAGAGTCGATCATTAAAATAAAATCGTATTAATTACATTTAAAAAATATAGTGAAGCCTATAAACGCCGAACTAATAGAAACATTCCTGTCATTTTCCTTTAATATCATTCGGTGAGTGAGGACTGTGACGCAACGCGCGCGGTGGTGGTGGGAGTGTCAGCATTTTAAAGCCGCCACAACATAGCCATACCACGAATATTTTTTTATTCCTGCAGTTTTCCTCGCGATATATTACTTCGCATAGTACAATTTAAAAAATGAACTAAAAGTTTAGAAATAAAATGACGTGGGAGAATCAAGCACTCCGATGTTACTTTCATTGACCTTTTGAGCGCCAAAGTCGCCTATACTTGACCAGCACCTGCGAGCTCTGAGCGCCAACGACGTCTATAGTTGACAAAAAACCCGACCCACAAAAATATGAAATATAGATACTGGAAAATTATTACTGGTATTTTAATTCTACACTCCTCAAAAAAGAATAACCCAGCAACATGTGAGTATAAAAAAAAAACAAGTCTCTTAGAGCAAGAACAAGTACTAACAAACATTGAACTAAAAAAAAAAGGATTTTTATCTAAGCAAATACCATGTCCAGCACGCCAAAGTCGTCTATGTTTAACCGCTGTGTTGTAATGCGTTAGGCATAGATTTATTGAAAACTATTCAAAATTAAACGCGAACGTGTTATTTTTTTAAATTATTATTGATATTTGAATAAAACAAAAGGTAAGAAACATAAAACTATCACCAGCTACATAAATAAAAGAAAATTTCATCAAATCAACTTCGCATAATAAATCTAATATCTCAACTCTGGCGCATCCTTAGCGCGTCATCGATTATCAGTTCACTGGGCGCCGTGGTCAAGGATAGACGACACCCTGATGACGTCATAAACGAATAGCGGAAAAAGTAGTGCAGTGCAACATGAACGATTCCTCAGAACTCATTCGCATTTTGGAAATCGTCGATGATGATGAATTTTTTTAATAATATAAAATTACAAATAATGTTTATTTTTTTTTTCTTAAGGTATGAAGAGCAATTTTACATTTTGTGTTGTGCGATTTTCTTTCTCAATATAGGGTATTGACTGAAACCTCTATTATATTTGCTGATGACATTTCCATTCTTATTCCGCATACGAAAGACCAGAATTTAAATCATAAATTGAATCAAGTATTGAACCAGGGACCTAGAGATTAATTTTAATAAAACCAAAATTATGCAATTCCGACCAGTTCAAAAATCACCACTAAATATAGCTTTTACTTATAATAATATACCTATAGGAACTGTTGACAACTTCAACATGTTAGGCCTGTAAATCGACTGCCATATAAACTGGAAAGCCCATATAAATGAAGTAAAAAATAGGCAAAACAAAATTCATTTACGTATTACGAGAAATAAAGAAAACCACAGGTGTCCCCAGCGCTCTGTAAGCATATTATCCCTTCTCCCTCCGGACCGCGCCTAGTTTGGACGTCTTTTTAATTTTTCCACGATACTTTAATTTTTAATTTTAAAATAGTATTAATTTAATTCGACTCTAAAAATAGAAGTGCATAAACTGCCAGGAGCTAAGCTGCAAGTAATCAGGTGACATACTACTGCGCCTTCGCATTATCTATTGTAGTGGTTGTGAGTGAATAACTGTGTGTGCTATCGTTCTAAGAGTAAACGAGACGTCTATTCGACACGACACCTCTCTCTGTCATCTACTGCGCGTAAGTCACACTACTGTGCTATTAATTATACATTATACGAGTTACGCACACAATTCCGTTTGTTTATGTGCATTCAAGGGTCTATGATAGTTGGACGGAAAGAATTTTTGTAAGAAATCGTCGATCACCGACAATTTTAGCTGACCCCTGCAGCGAGACTGCTTCTGTAAACTCCAGTAAACTTTTGGGAGCCTGGTACTTTGAGTTTGATTTGAAACTAAGCATGCCACTCAAGCGAACACCGCCTCCCGCCTCACCGCCAGCGGTAAAAAACAAGAATAAGAATGTGAGCTGTACACCTATAAATATTTGCCCCAGCCTATCTACTGAAAAGCCTTCTTCAGAGCGTGATAATATCACCCTAAGGAAAAAAGATGTTATTGATTCTTCTAGTATGGAACTATTTAGGGAAGAAATCAGGGAAATTAGAGAAATTATAGTTAATTCTAACATTATAAAACATCAGAGTACATTGACTTCTGTACAATCCTCTGTGAATGAAATACTATCCCAATATAAAGATATTAAAGAATCAATCGAGATGATATCTAAGCAATACGATGATATGAAAATCAAATTTGATTCCCTCGAAAAGCAAAGAAAGGAAGATCGACTCTACATCGTTGAACTTGAAGGAAGAATATGCTCTCTGGAGTCAACTATTGTGGCATCAAAGCTTGAGCTTAGAAACATCCCTATGGGACCCAGTGAATCCAAAGAAAGTCTGTGTGACATTGTTTTAAAAACTGCTAAGGCCCTAGAAGTACCTCTTCAACAGCCAGAAATAAATGACGTGTACCGCATTAAAAACAAAACTGGTAACGGAAATATTATCGTCGACCTTACAACTACCATAAAAAAAGAAAATTTCTTGAAAAAAAGCGCGCAAAATTAATACAAAAAACAGCGCAAATAAATTAAACACAACCCATCTCGCACTGGATGGGCCACAGAAGCCGATATTTATTTCTGAACATTTAACGCAGAAAGCTAGGCGCCTTAACTACTTAGCAAGAAATTTTGCGCAGGAAAACGGATATAAGTTCTGCTGGACTTCATACGGACGTACATATCTACGTCAAGATGAGGGCAAACCACATATCAGAGTGGACTCTGAGTCAGATTTAGCTAAGCTGCGAGGCCAAAAATGACTGTATGAGATCTCCGGTAGAATTTTGGTTACTACTTACATTGATTTTGTTTATTATCAAATATTTATTTATTATTTCTTTAATTATTTATATAACATTATATATATTTTACTAAACGGTACGACATACATTCACATTACTATTGTAACCGTTCTGTATATTTTTACAATACATGGTTTTTCTCGAACAATTTGTGGGATGGCTCTCAATAGCTATTATTTAAATCGGAACTATAGATGTGACAATGAATTTCTCCTCTTTAAAAATGCCTGAATTACAGAATCAAATTCTATCAGATATGGATAATATTAGAGTGGCTTCATCTTTTGTGTGTGATGTTTTAAAATGCAATGATATTGTCAGGAAATCCTGTAATTCTTTAAATATCATTACACAAAATATACGTAGCGTCTATAAAAACCTGGATGGCTTTATGGCATATATATCACAACTTTCATTTGAACCGGATATAATAATACTAACAGAATGTCGCCTTGATGTTAATAAGCCTGTTCCTCCGCTTCCAGGTTACAAATGTCATTTCTCAAAAAAATGTTCAATCCAAAATGATGGTATAACAGTTTATTCTAAACACTCAATTGATTGTATAATAACAGAACCTGATTCAAATGGTGGTAACTATCTTTTAATTAAAATAAATCCAGATATAGTAATATTAGCGGTATATAGATCACCCTCCTATTATTATATTGACAACTTTTTAGATTCTGTAGAAAAAATTATTCGTCCCTTAAAATCTAGTAACATATTTATTATGGGTGATATCAATATAAATATTATTCAAGGCAACAAAGACAAAGACAGTGAACCTTATTTAAATTTAACTGCAGGATTAGGTCTTTTACCAGGTCATACCTACCCCACCCGTATCAATAATTGTTTAGACCATGTTATGGTGAAAACAGTATTGAATACTCAAATAATGGTACTCGATAGTGTAATCACTGATCATTCCTTAATCTTAACAAATGTTTCTTTGAACCCCAAACGCAAGCCTAATAATATTTTTATTGATAAAATAAATTATGATGATGCCATCAAATCTATAGAGTCTGCTGATTTTTCTTTTATATCTCCAACTTTAAATGCAGACACGGCTGCCGAAAAATTTGTTGATCTAATAACCTCTACTATAAAGAATAATACTGTTAAAATTAAGATTCCTAGAGTGAAACGAACGCTTAAGGCCTGGATGACACCTGGACTGATAAGGTGTATCCGTCACCGCGATAAACTTCACCAAAAACTGAAAAAGAACCCTGACAATGAAATACTTCAAATTTCTTATAAGCGTTATAGGAATTACTGCAATTCCTTGTTAAGTAAGCTCAAGCGCCAATATGAAAAAAGTCTTTTGGCAAATGCAAAGAACAGTAAAGAAACTTGGTCTGCAATCAAAGCCATCTCCGGATGTGATACTAAAAATAACTACGCTGAAAATTTGATCATTAAAAATCCTATAGATTCAGTGGAGAGAGCTAATTACTATTTTTCAACTTTGGGTAGAAAATTAGCTGATAAAATTCTAGCAAACGGTGCTAAACCTGCTAATGTTAATACTATACCCTGGTCGCTTAATTCATTTGTGCTCGATTCTCCTGACGAGTTAGAAGTAGAAACAATATTGATGGGTCTTAGAAATGATTGTGCTATTGGTTGGGATTCCATTCCTGCTTGCTTCCTTAAAATGACCAAGGATAAAATACTTCTGCCACTCACAACCCTTTTTTAAAATCTGTTTTGAACAAGGATGCTTTCCAAAAGTTTTTAAAAGATCTCTCATTACTCCTGTTTACAAGAATGGGGCTCGGGACGTTGTTGAAAATTACCGGCCGATCTCTGTGCTACCTGCACTTTCAAAAATCTTAGAAAGGATGCTTAATAATCGTTTGGTTAAATTTCTAAACAAATATAATATCTTATCTAATATGCAGTTCGGATTCAGAGCGGGTGTTAGTACAGAAGATGCTGTTCGTAACTTGACCGAATTTGTAACAAATAAACTGGACCATAAACAGAAGTGTGTAGGGATTTTCTTAGATTTAGCCAAAGCTTTCGACACCGTTTCGATACCCATTCTTGTAAACAAACTAGAAAAAATTGGAATAGGAGATTCTGCCCTTTCCATTTTTAAGGATTTTTTATATGACCGTGTGCAGAGAGTAAAAATAAAAAAGATTATTAGCTCAGACGCCTGTGTCACATTTGGAGTCCCTCAGGGCAGTATCCTGGGACCAAGTCTCTTCTTAATTTACATCAACGACCTGTGCTCAATGACACTAACTCAAGGCAAGCTATTTACTTATGCTGATGATACAGCCTTAATTTTCTACGGAGAGACTTGGCCTGAGGTCCAGGAGTTTGCGATGAGGGGTCTTCAATCTGTGGCAAATTGGCTTGAGGAGAATCTACTGACTCTTAATATATCAAAGTCCACCTATATGCAGTTCCATATAACTAACACCCAAACTGTTAACGATATACAATTAACAGTACACTCTTGTGGTTTACAGTCAACAGATACTTGCCTTTGCCCTAAAATGACGAAATCCAAATCAATTAAATATCTCGGAGTAATTATAGACGAGAAACTAAGCTGGCTCCCACACATAGACCTTATTTCATCGCGCACTAGGATTCTTATTTGGACATTTAAAAGGCTAAGGCACATCGCTGACTTTGATTTATTGAGAACTGTATACTACGCCTTAGCACAATCAATTATAGGTTATTGTATAGTTGCCTGGGGTGGAGCATGCAAAACATTTATGATAAAATTAGAAAGAGCTCAAAGATGTCTCCTAAAAACTATGACTTTTAAACCGTTCAGGTATCCTACAAATCTGCTTTACCAAGAATGCAAACTGTTGACTGTTAGGCAATTGTATATCCAACAACTGATCTTAATGAAACATGCTCTAACTCCTTATAACCCTGAGATCTGTCGTAATAAACGCAGAATACCGGATGTAATGATTATTGGCAGATGTCAAACTGCTTTTTCTAGGCGACAAAGTTCATATCGATCCTCAGTGCTTTATAATAAATTAAATAGAAATCTAAATTTTTATCCTCTTTCCAGACATGAATGTAAAGTTAAAGTTCGAGACTGGTTATTGTCACTTGATTATAGTAAAACAGAAAATATAATTTGTTAACATGTAGTAATGTATGTCGTATAATAAAAGTATAATAAAATTATAAAATTTTAAAATTATGAAATTAAAAATAGCAATCTTTGTTTAAAGCATCTATTTATTTATTATAGGTTATAATGAATAAAATATATATTCTGTATGAAATTATATAATAATATATTCTATATATTCTATGTATATATATATATATATATATATATATATATATATATATATATATATATATATATATATATGTGTATGTGTATGTATATGTATATACGTGTGTGTATGTATATGTATATATATTGCAAATTGCAAACTAATTTTAATATACCTACGATTATATGAAATATAATAACGACTAAAGAGTCGCATTAAGTTAAAGTATATGTTTCGTTGTAAATAAATACATTCAATTAGCTAAACAATTACTTAAAAATGTAAAGCTTAGTTACTTAATTAATTGTTAAGACTAAAATACTGTTGTCACAACACTGGGAGAGGCCACTGATTCCTAAGATACAGACTTGTCTAGTTTGGGAATCAGAGTCTTCACTCTATTATTGTACTTTTATTTGAATAAATGATTATTATTATATTATTATTATTATTATATTACGCATATACATCTTCGTGGCTGTCATACGGTGTCATGTTGTGGTTGTGGGGAAATAGTAAAGATGCACAGCAATTATTTATAATGGAAAAAAAATTATAAGAATCTTAGCAAACATAAAAATTCCAGAAAGTTGTAAGCCCCACTTCAAAGTTTAAAATTTTGACATTGACGTCTATATTTGAGAAACATGGAAATTTAAGAAAAAAACACCCAGAACTATATAAAAAACCAACAAAATCAAGTTATTTTGTGTTATCGATATATCAACTCTTGCAACACTATTTTTTCGTAGGTATTTTTGTTTACTTTTCGCTTTGGCGTACAGGACACGGTAGTGCGTTTTAGGCGTGGCGCTCAAAAGGTTAATACAGAATACTATTCTTATATCAATGGTATCTCAGCTTTATTTACCTTTAAGAGTATTCCCACGAGGTCCAATGAGAAGTCCCACGAAATTGATATCAGGATGTTCTTCCTGAGGAATCATCACCTTGTCGTGGACTCGTATGATGGGTGGTCTGCAAACAATATAATTTCAATCAATTGATAGAACACATGTACCAGTTTATATTATACGTATTTGAGTCTTGACTATCTCGTTATTATAGGTATATTATAGGATAAGGTCCCGGGTTTAAATCCCGCTTCCGGCCAAAATCAGTTATTGTCTTTTTCTGGCAAAAATTTTTAATATACCACCTAAATGCCTGGTGGTCCACCACTGTGCGATTTACAAGAAAATTTCTTCCTCGCACAACTTCCATAACTAATCAACTACCACCAGGGATTTTTCCGGACCAATACAACTTAGGGATCTACAAGAAAAGACAATACTCTTTTTAAAAGGCCAGCAAAGCATCAGCAACTACCCTAATGTCGCAGTTGTTCACGGGCGGCGGTAGGCACTTACTATCATGTGAGCGGCATGCTCGTTTGCCCCTCTCCTATAACAAAAAACCTGTGTTTGTGTTGTGCGCATGCACTCGGGCACTACAATCGTGTCATGCACTGATGGCTATCTTCGTTGAAACCGGCCGCCGTAACCGAAATCGGTTTACGTACTTATAGTCTGGAGGGGGTTTGAACTCCGGGTTGATCTGCTGCATGCGCTGCACTAGACGGTGCCGTTCCTCTTCAAGTTTGCGGCGAGTGCGGTATTCCCGAGTGTTCAGCCGCTTGCCGTCCGTGGAGTAAATGGGTTCGGGTGACGGCGACCTGCAATGTTAATTCTTGTACATCACGCTTAAAACTGCATCAGAAAGTGCTGATATATCAGTTAGCAACATCCAACCCAAACTTATGGAACTGTTATATTGTTATTTTTTAAATTATTTGCTATTATTTTTGTCTCGACATGTTATATAAATAACTATCACTTGAAATATGTTATTAGGGTGTATACAATATGTTTTTGAATTTTGATAAATATTATAGACAAAAAATGAAGAAAATAAAAGAGATTTAAAACATAAATCAAACTTTTAATAACGTTTGAGTTTATATATTATTAAGTTATATGTGTATTAATATTAAAAACTAATTTTAAAATATGAAAAAAAAAATGGCAGTTTTCCCTAAATAAATTGCGAAGATATGATTACGCTGCGCGTAGTAATTGTTTTATAAGTTTCAATTGAACAGTTGTATTCTTAACCAAAGTAAGCATTGATATAAACGACAAGATATGGGCGTGCGAACAAAAGTTGTTCACGGTTTAAGCATAGAATAAATCAGCGGCATCTCTTAAATACTCATAAAACTACCACGGAACCAGTTTTTTCACTTATGATTTTGGTTTTACCCTAGAACCTGTAGAATACTCTCTAAATTATCGCAAAAAATCAAAATAGCCTTATCTATTGCACCTAATTTTCAATATTTTAAAGAACAACATCATCGCAAGATTTGAATATCATTTCACAATTAAAAATCTTGAGTTTTATTATGAAGATGTTCTTATTTTAAAATTATAATAGCACTCTCACTCATATGAATAACGAATATGTAACTAAGTAAACATATAGCATTATTCTATTAGATTTATTACATTATTTATTAAAGAAAAACTTTTTCATTCTACACTTTTCTAGCTCTTTTGACCCTACTCCACTTCGATAAATCTTTAAAAAAATACATTGGGTGGGAATAAAAATCAGGGTTACATGAAGTTCGGTGTTACCCCAAATTATCCAAAACCCTGACAACTTGAAGAAACGCCTAAAGCCTACATTTATTAGTAAATTTACCCTAACATAGTGCAAAATATCTAAAAGTGGAAACACTGCACGGACGCACGGCACGCACCGTGGGCATCACGTTGGTAACACTGCACGGACGCACGGCACGCGTGGGCGATCGCGTTGAACTCACACGCACGGCACGCGTGGGCGATCGCGTTGATCCTTGTAACACTGCACGGACGCACGGCACGCGTGGGCGATCGCGTTGGTAACACTGCACGGACGCACGGCACGCGTGGGCGATCGCGTTGGTAACACTGCACGGACGCACGGCACGCGTGGGCGATCGCGTTGGTAACACTGCACGGACGCACGGCACGCGTGGGCGATCGCGTTGGCAACACATTAACACAAAAACATTTTAGCACTAATGAGTCTGTGCCATTTTGTTTGTTCAATGACCCAATACATACGCAGTAGTATAATAAGTTTATGAATGTAAGCAAACATTTTAAGTTTCTTGTCATTGACAGCGGAAGTTTAAAAATAAGCAAAACGCAATTATTATTAAAGAAAATTATGTACAAAATTCTGAAAACATAATTTTAAAAAATGTCTTCAAATAGTCATGAAATAATATTTAATCAAGATACAGCAATGAAAATAATATTTTTTAACCTATCATTTATTTAGCCCGGGAAAGCTATTCCCGGGCGTAGGATTAGAAACTTATGTCTACACAATGTTTTAAATCTTAATAGGACAAAATACGGGATTAAATCCACTAAGAAAGACTAAGTCATAAAATTCGAGAAGTAAAGTTGGATGATGTTAAAAATATATCAAAAATAGTAGGAATAAATTATAATACGCAAGCCTACATGAAGTCATATTTTGGGCTAAAATGTCTATCAATTCTCACTCTACAACTTGTACACAATAAATGTCAATAAAGTACAATTTCGAAAACAATCATGTTCAATATTGACCTGAAAATTTTCTAACGCGTCTAGTGATGTAAAATATCTTATAAAATTGCTTGTTTTTTACTTATTTCGTATCGCATAATTGAATTTTCCAATAAAGCCAGGAAAAAATTAATGTTACTATGTTTATCATTCTCAATAGACATTCGGAAACGGAACGCATTTTACAATGACTTAAAGACCCAGAAGCCATGTCAAAATATATTTAAAAAAAACGTGTTTTACACATTCCGTTTCATAGCCCCTCGTCTGTACAAACGCCATATTCTGGCGTCTTAAATAATATGCGCATCTGTCAAACGCCATAATATGGCGTCGAGTGATAGCAAACTATTTGTAACATATATATGATATATATAACATATATATCTGTTGTGCATAATCTGATAGCTTATTTAATAACGTTTCCATTGATATATGATTTCAATATACTTAGTATACTTGTTATATACTAAATACTTCGGAAAGTGCTCGACAGATGCGCCATATTGGCCAAAATGACCCCGACATTCGAGTGGAGAGACTACGAAAATCTTATTAATTCGTCATGTGGTTTATGAATGTTCAAAATAACTAATTGTTTTTTGTAATATAAATTTTATTTTATGATTAGATATGATTTTTTGTGATTTTATACTATGGTGTGGAAAGATATTTTTCTTTCCACACCATAGTACCATAGTGTACAGTTAACAGGTTACAACACGAACTTCTTTAGTCGCCTGAGGTGATTGACAGGCTGTCACTAGACCTTATTTGACAGCTGTTATAACCCGAAAAACTTATTTACTTAATAGCATTTTTCCCTGTCCTCTAAATGAAAAGGTAATAAGTTATTATAAACAATAATTGATTTATGAAACAGTAACTTCAATTAGACGCGACCTGTAAAACATGACAGATCAATTAATGTATGGAAAGAGAGCATACTTCTTTAAATAACTCCAATTATCTTTAGCACAATATCTATAATTGATGGCCAAATTTCGTTATTTGCATCTTTTAAAAAATAGATTGGAATTAAAACTAAAAAACGTAAATGGATTTTTAGCAGTGTCATCTCATGTTTAATTTACAAATTGGTAAATCACAAAAAATAAAGAAAAAAAACTATACGATTTAAATAAACAAAATCTATTTCTATTTCAGCGGCACATGTTTCTAATCACATGAATCATTGATAGACATTTTAACTTTATTTTCTCACAAAATAAAAATTAATTTCTAAACTAAGAGGAAAAAAACATCTTGGGTATCAGTAATTGTAATGGTTATACACTCAATGGCTAGTAGGCCCACACAGTAAGCAGCTAATGCAGTCTACAGCTCCTGTAGCCAACTTCAAACAAAGCTACAAATGTGTTGTCACCTCTGAGGACTGAGATTGAACAGCTCACAGCTTTTTATTATAGTGGCTCTCTATGCCCTCTAGACAGAAATACAGTAGTGCAGGCACTACTATTTTGCAGCAGAAATAACACTATTTAATTATTATACCACATTTGTAAATCTTAATGTTAAAATAATATATACCAACAAAAACTAATTTTTATCAAAAACATAACTAATAGTCATTGAATGTACAACATAATAATGAAAGTAATGATCAAGTGCATTGATAAACCTAATCTAATGCCTAAAGCACATCCTAATTCCCTGAGAAAAAAAAATCATTAAACAAATTTAAAACCTGAAATTTGAACATTGTTAGTGCTGAAAAAATTAAGTTATTAACCTGCGTGGCTGAAAAAGTTCATTATTATTGATTAGACTGACTGAATTATAAATTTTTAATAAACACTGTCAGTGCATAACCTGCAAAATTAAAACTGCAAATTAGTAGCTTTTTTTTGCTTTATATCGATATTGAAATTACAAATTAATTGCACTCAATACACTTCGATGTCCGTAGATCCTGAAAACCACGCTCATAAGGTATGATGTGCAAAAAAATTAAAATACAAACTTAAGTTATACTTTTGAGTTTTAAAGTACCCTGGTCTGTGCTAAGTCGTGTAAAGTAGCTAAAATGTAATATTAAAAAATGATTATTATCGATACTCAGTGGTTGGAGGGTGACCGCCACGGTGACGTGGCTGTAGTAATGTGAACGGGTAGCGAACCTCTCCTCGATGTTGGCAGGGATGCCCAGGTCCCCGGAGCGCAGCTTGCGGCTCACCTCCTCGATCTGCAGCTGAACTGCAAGGGAACGGGTTAGCCGCGCGGCCATATGCACCAATTAGAAACCTGACCGCATATCCCACAATACCTACCTACGTATACACTTACCTACATCATTTTATTCATGTAAATACGGCTCAAATTTTTATGATATTATCATATCCTGTAGTATTTTTTTTTTGCATTGAATAAATCTTTCCAAGTTGAAATTTTTTTTTTGTATCAACTTTATTTTTCTTTTACTATTTATGTAAACTTTGTGAAGGCACACATATCTATAGTAGGAATGAATATGTATTAGGATCTTATTCCAAAATTATTATTGTAACAAAGATTATTTGCTGAACAAATAAACTGAGCTATAAAGGCATTCAAAATAAACATAAGTATGCTAGAAGAGAGACAATTTTCAATAAAATATTTAGAGTATATTATTATTATTAACATTAATAACTGGTTTATTTCCAGACAAATTAATGTTATTATTATCTCCTAAAATCCTGCAAAATGCATAAAATTTACATTATAAATATAATGTTCCCTGTATAAATGGAATCTCAAATTATTAAAAACTTACACGAAAACCATTACATTTGTAAAGTTAGTAGTTCTTTACTAGGCTGTTTTCAATATGGACAAGACAAAGAAACATTACAATATAACCAATATATTTATATGAATTCAAAATCACACAAGGCAAAACTGTAAACGTTTAAGTTATTAAAAAAATTATGTTAGCAATTAAGTCAGTGCGAAATTTGATTATAATCAGGACGAGGAGTTACATTGATAAATATATGCGGAGTACTACATAGACCAAGCTATAAAAAGGGTCATTACACACATTGTACAAACTTTTACAGTTTTAATATAATGTTCGATACAAACCTTATGCAAAAGGATGTAATAAAGTTCCCACAGCCCAAGGACAATAAATTTAGATATACCTTTCCTGCTCTGTCCGAGTAGCATTTCCACATATATTAAAGTCAGTAAATATAAAAGATTCGAGTGGGAGAGTGAAGGAGCGAAGTGTGGCGCGGTACTCACGTAGATACTGCTCCTCCTGCTCGCGGGTGAGCGTGGAGGGCAGGACAGTGGGTAGGCCCGGGATGAAAGTCTTGTCATGCTCGGATCCCATCCAACGAGTGCGGCGACGTCTGGCACGGCGTTCCGCTGCCGTCTCACCCGGTGGACCTGCAAATGTTACGTTATTCCCACTTTCGTCACAATTCATGATCATCATGTGATGAAATTAAATAATTAGTTAATTACTTTGTAACTAAAATTATTGTACACTATACTTTAAAAAAAAAGTACAGTTGGTTTTCTTGCTAGTTCTCAGACTACACTACTTCTACAGAGGTATTTTGGAAACCAGTGGTAAATTAATCATAACAGGGAATCAATATATATTTGTATTTATAATTTATATTGAATAAGAAAGTTACAGCACTGGGGGCAACGGGTTCGAATGTAGCAAGTAACGAGCTTTTATAGGCAACAAAAATAATTGTTCCGTATCCAAGTGTTCTATGTAATACAAAAGGGTGTTAAATTTTTATTATCAAAGTGTTAAAAGGCTTAATAATTTTACTTATGTAAATATCTTTACATAATAGAGTATAGAATATAAATTACAAAAGTCTATATACAACGTTTTTAAACGAAATAAATTCAGCGGTTTGCCTGATACACAAAACTCGTCTCACACATGTAGGCTACTCACTGTAGGGCTTCCTTTTTTATTAATATTAATCGCCACGCTTGACAAGCGAGTTGACGATCGCAGTGTCAGGCGTTTTCTTTGACGTTACTTCTCGTGTCCACTCTGGGTAGCATTCAGCTTAAATGAATTGGATATGCCTCCACCTATTGGAGCAACACTCACACGACGGAATGGGGTTGACCATCAGGTGGTTGCCATGTCCCGAGCTATCACCGTCTGATCTGGGTTTTGTCAGCTCCTTCAGCTAACGGGCTGGCGCGCCTAGATTTCGCCTCCCTACGTCATGATGTCAGTAATTCCCAAAATTCTAAAATTGAATAATTGTACTTGTGTGAAGAAAGTAAGACAATAAAATAGTTTACTATAAATACTGACTGTTTTAAGAACCCGTATGTTCGTTTGATACCATTGTTCTGTAAAAAAATATTGTATAAACATATCAAAGTAGAGCAAACGACCGCCTCACCCTGTCCGTCCTCCTTGTCGTCGTCGGGGTGGTAGTCTTCGCGCTTGTCCCGGTGGTGGCGCGACTCGGTCCTGGCCTGCATCAGCTCCAGCTTCTGCTGCACGGAGGTGGGCGGCGGGATGGCCGTGGCGGCCGACAGCGCGGCCGCCGCCGCCGCCGCCGGCTGCACCGGCGCCGCAATCCGACGCTGCGCCACAAACGTCTGTTAGTGCGGACACACGCACACACTGACGTTAGTAAAGCAACACACGGGCCTAACCCCGCTCTACAGGGTCGCCACTCGACACACACGCACACACACATACACGTACACGCACACGTACGGCCACACACGCACACAACAACATCAGCAACGCTACACACCAGTGCATCCCGCTCTACAGACTCACCACTCGACACACATGCACACGTACATATACACGCACAAGTATATGTACACGTTCACATACACGCACGCGTACGCACACATTCATAGATCTGTAGCTGTCTAACGCACTAACTAACCATTTATATGTTCATAAACTGACCACAGTTATTTCAAGGGTATCAAAATGGTGCCACTTAAAATACAGTTAATGTAGCACGGGAGTCAACGTATCAATCAATAAATTTATGTGAAAGGATTTATTATTAATAATGAAAATTTTTCATTATTAATAATAAAATAAAATCTATGAAGTTAAGCAGTGTATTTTTGATAGACTACAATGATGATGATTATTATGAAATTAGCATATAAAATCGTTTTTAGCATTTTCAATGGTGCCAGCGCAGTGTGAGCTTATTTTGGTTATTTATAGATTTATAGAGATATATAAGTACTCTACTTGGCATTTAATTTATAATTATATAATTGGATTTATAATTTAAATTGGGAATTAACAATATAGGTAAAAACGGAATCTTCCAAACATATTTGTTCAGAGTGAAGTGCTTACAATGAGCTTTGCAGTAACCCTGTCACTGATCGGTCCATATTCATTATCGTAAGACAAAGCAACTGGCTACATCACGACTAATATATTATTACAACAAAATTAAAAGACACAAAGCAAGAAATTATCCCTTTCTCATCATAAGTGGCAACCCTGTACAAAATACAAAAAAAAAATACAAAAAAAAGTAACTCAAAATAATTTAAATGTAAAAAAACAGTAACATTTTTTATAATTTAAAGCCAGCATGTTACCTTTATCCCACAAAACGATGATATTGTTAAAAATTAGGGGAGATTACTTTTTGTAACATCTGAAAGTATGTTTGATACAATCAATATTTTATAATATTATACTAATTATACAATACTATTTTTTCTGTTAAGTGTAACAGTTAAGTAAACCGATTAATATTACATAAAATAAAATAAAAGTGGTCTTAACTTTATATCTCATGTCCTACACATAAACTAATGAGAGATACGCCTATATACTGCATTTACCTATCAAGTGTCTTTTATACATTCGTTTATAACTGTATGAAATGTAACACTACCACTATAGTGAACCAAATCTAAGAAATACCTTTTGACAGCTGTCAAACTTTTTGTACCAAGCATGCCAACCAAAAATGGGAACGTACAATATTCGATTCTTAAAAAAATCGATATCGATTATTTTGAGTTGGTAATCATTTACTGTTTGGTTTGAATAATACCAGAATAAATAAGAAATGAATAATTTAAAACACGAGATTTATCAGTTTCTTCGTATTTGTTGTTACTGCTTATTTCTAGAGGCACAGTTATAAAAATTTAAGATTGAAACTAGATTAAAAATAAAAATTTTATCAAACAAACAATACATTTAAAAAAATTAATGATTCGATTATTTGAATATTTTTAGCGATTATTTGAATATTTTTGCCGATCATTCGCATGACAATGAATTTTAATAATACAAACAATACGGTAAGGTTCATAGCGACATATCATTTAAACGACGTCAAGTATAATAAATTTTTTTAATAATTTGCTTTGATTGAAAGATTCGAATTTAAATTAGTGATAATAAACTACACGTTGTAATAAAATATAGACTACGTTATAATTCTTCGGATTTACGTAAAAGGTTATTTTCAATTGTGTGAGTACGCTTGCGCAAAGTTATTGCGGAATGATTAATGTGAAACGTCAAAAGGTATTTCTTAGATTTGGTTGACTATAACTGTGCTCGGCGTGCGTCGCAATGCCTTTTTTGACAGAAGTATTCGCGGGCGCAAACACAACAGCTCACCTAAGTTTCATAATAATAATCGGTAGAATTAATGGTGTGTGATGAAACGACAAACAAAAATTTATTTTTAAATTAGAATAAGAGACAATAGTCCACAACCACAATACAACATGTAACATAAATAACGCACTTTGAGAAAGTAGTTTGTTCAGAATCGTTTACTGAATCGATTCCTATCATTTTTAATATAGGTAATTTTTTATCCCAAAAATAATTAAAACTACGTAAATTACAGTCACACTAAATCTGTACAGTCAAAACAAACAGAAATGGACCGTAACTTAAGGCAATAAGACTTTTAAGAGTGCAGTTTTATTTGTATTATTACTAATTCTGTCATTCATTAAAAATAAAGAAAAATGAACTTTATTTCAAGCACGTTAAAGTCTTTAGTCTTTAGTGACCACAACATTCTTCCGGAATTAGTATAACTAATTTGATAAATAATCAGTGCATAAAAATGTTTAACTAAAAATTCAGTGTATGTATTATGATTATAACATAATATACTAATTGGGGTGTCTGAGGGTGTGCGTTAATTACGTTACATATTGTATATCACAGATAGGCCAGTCACAGTCACTCAACTTTGCATTTTTGATATAATGTAGTTTTAGTGATACAAAACAATGTGTAAAGGTTTACGTGTCTGCAACATTTTTTTTTATAGAATAGGGTGACAAACGAGCACGCAGTCCACCTGATGGTAAGTGGTTGCTGCGGCCCAGAGACATCTACATCTATCCTCCATTAAAAATCAAAATGCAGATGCGTTGTCACCCGTGAGGACTGAGATGGAATGCCTCGTTTCCAGTAAAAAGGGTCTCCGGTTCTCTACACTCACCATACGAAATACAGCAGCATTAAGCTACTATTTCACGCTGGTATTCTGTGAGAGCGTGGTCCTTCCCCGGTCGAGCCGACCCATACGTGCTACAACTATACTACTAATATAACTGCAGCATGGCTCTACCACGTAAAATCCCAGCAAGGCTTGAAAAAAATTGTCAAGTATTTTTCGCAATTACTCGTAAACGGTAAAATTTATACAAAAAGGTTCTAATAAAATGTGTAGAGCTTAAAATTTTACTTAAAAAAAGGTTTAATTTTTTTTCCTCGTTTCAAAATTAACCGAATTAGGGGTTAGGGTTTTAAGTTTCAGGGAAGAACGTAAATTAAAAAAAATCGTAGTTAGTAGAAAAATAAGCATATTTTTAATTGCTTAAAAATCTAATTTATAATTTTAGATACAGATTTTTATTGTAAAAAAAAATTGAAATTTTCAAACTAAAATTTTAATGTTTTAAAATTAATGAATTATTCATTTTTGGCATAATTACCTGGTCGACAGGTGTGAATTTATACAGGTATATTTTTTTTTCAAGTCCTACGCCGTTGTATAAGTCCCGAGTTAAAAAGAGATAACTATTGCTTACTTGCGTATCGGTATGGGCGCTCGACGATGAGTTTTCCGCATGCTCTGACGTTACAAGCTCCGAGTAAAAGTGAGAAAGCATCATCGGAAAATCATACTTCTCTCACTCTCTATATTACAATCTGATCATTCAAATATATCAGGTTATTCTTGCCTAATTGGTGATTTCATCCGAAACCATGAAGTAAATCTTTTTTATATATTTTTCTAACATTATTATTTGTACAAATAAGTTGATTTTTTTAATTATCCCGACGATAGTAAATATATAATATATATTCCAAATTTTATGATTCTCAAAAAATTACTTGACATATGGGGATTTTCTCCATCCACATTCTTCAGGGTTCAAAATTATTGCTGCGGGCTGTTCGAAAGAGATACCGCGGCTCCGGAACGTAAGGGCACTGAAGGAACACGGATGGTTTTTAGTCAGTAAAAGTCTGACACTCCCTTACGCTCCACCCAGAGCGAAAGGCGTCATTAGATGATTTTCCATCCGCAAAAAAAAAGGGTTCAAAATTATTGCCCAACCATATTTGAATCTGACAATATACACGTTTTGGGTGTTCACACAATGATGATTCTAGAGATGATGGTAGAGAAGCAAATACAAATTCTTTTTTAAATGCAGTATCTGATCATCACCAATTTTTAAATTATCAGCATCACCATGGCTGTACAGATGTAATATTATCTTTTCGTCGTTAGTATTAGTAATTTTTATATTAAGTAATTAAGTTAATTACTTAATATAAAAATTACTTAATAAGCTGTAAAAGCTGTTTGAAATGTAACCAATTTTGCAAAAGTTGCCATGGCCAAAGTTGCGAAAACGCATCAACAACGCGAATAGTTTTAGAAGATATAATCCATTAAGGCCGAATACGAAGAGAACTGGCGAAATTTAATGTATTTCTCTTCACTACAACTTTGACCTGACTGTAATTCTAAGCGTTAAAACATTTTTTGTAGGTTTGTTCGGTTCCTTCACAAGTTGCCCGCAGTTTTAAAATTTTAAAATAAATAAATATACCAACAAATAAAAAAATGTTAAGAAATGATATTTAAAAATGATTGTTCTTCCAAAACTCTGTGAATTTTAATTTAGGAAAAATTCTTTTACGTAAAAATGTTTGTATTGTGATTCCGAAGGTGCCTGCCGTCTTTATTTTCGATACAAAATATTATTTATTAACATAATTCGTTTTAATTAAAAACACCTAATAATAATATCGTATATTGCCAGATAAAAGTTTGCCGTAATAAATTACCAGGCGCTTCGACGTGTGACGTAAGGTGACAACAGTCGTTGTGTCTGTAGCGAAAATCGTTAATTTAGTGTTTTATACGCGTTTAAGTGACTATAAATGTGAATATGGGTAGTAAAAGAAATAAATGTTACCTAAGTGGTAAAACAAAGAGAGTTTATCGCATGAACGCTGCTCGAATGTTGTATTTTGAGGTTACTTATATTTTTTGTAAGGTAATTTTATGTTTGAGGCTGCCTAATAGGCTGCATTTTTACTCATTTACATTAGCCAAACTGATCATTTATACTTTTCTAGTTTCAAGTGAGAAACACTAAAAATGTAAATATCAAGACCGAGTCGGAAAAGAATGTACAGAGTAGTGCAAGCACAGAGACCGCAAATAATGTCATAGTCAATGTATTGTCCGAAAGCATGGGGTAGGTACATAATTAAGAAAAACCGAAATACTTCGGATGTGAAGTGATTGACTAGTCGGAGTAGTCTTGTGAGAATTTACATACACAGTACCTATCCCCACTATGGGGCAATAACGGACTTTTTAGTTTTTTTTTTTTTGCTTTAATATTTATGCAATTTGCATTACGGCATCTTGCTTAAGACTCACAAGAACAAACATTTTCAGTTATATTAGGTTCTTTACGTACGATGCACCAATTAAGAAAAAAAAATCGATATCAATTCAATAACTTTTCGAACAATATTTTATAACGAATAAAGTACAGAATTTATAATCTAAATATAAAATAGATTTAATTAAGAAGTAAGCAATGCCGTGTGTATTCTCTGCATACTGAGCTACTCAGTCAAAATTAATAATTTCTCAAATTTACGCTCACATTGAATAAAACTAAATTTACGGATTCTATCGCGTTTATTTAACTGATTTTACTTATTTTTAATTCCCGACATTTAGGGTGCTTTACAGCACCCATGGTCACGACTGAGATGTTTGACGTCCCAACGTCATTGTTAGCCCGGCTACTTTAGTCGGGAATTAAAAATAAGTAAAATCAGTTAAATAAACGCGATAGAATCCGTAAATTTAGTTTTATTCAAAATATACCCGTACCGGCTTTGATTATATTATGCATGTCTATATAAACAAAGCGTACGGGTAACACACGTGATGTTCGATAGACGGCGCGTGGTTTGTTGCAAAACGAGCAAGGTCAATCCCGTCGTATTCGGCCTTAACAGAGAATACTATAAATTATCGCGAAGAAGATGATGAAGAAATAAGGACTGGAAATTACACCTTTTCTGAACTAGATGAATCAACCGAATGATTCATTGGATTATCTCATAAAACAGAAGTGGAATTTAATCAGTAAGTATATAATATAATGAAAATGCTCATATTTCTTACATTGTAATATTTTACTTTTGGTTACTTTTTTACAATTTCTTTTATGCCAAATATATTTTAGCAAGCACATTCTAAGAGTGGAAAATTCTGCTAGTCTACTTTTGAAGTTCCTGTAATTGGTAAGCTTTCAAATTCATAAGTATATATATTACATAAATTGATTTATTTATTTATCATAAAAATAATCATCATAAAAATCGATTATTTTAAAATAATCCAAGGAAAATTTTACTATAACACTCCTTAAAAATTTAAATGAAATCATGTCTTTGAATTTATTTCATTCAAGAAAACTTTTGAAGTATTGTCATCAAATATCAATAATGTCCCAGATATAGGTCGATTCCAAGTTGCAAAATTCAAAAAATTACTTGATATGTCGGGAGGATGTCAAGCCATGTTTAAAAAAATGTGAAGTTTCAAGAATCATGAGATTTGGAATCCGTAAGTATACTAGCGTCGGGATAATAAAAAAAAATCTTCATAACTTATTTTTAATTAATTTTTTTAATAATTGGTAAAAAAAAAACACCCAAGAGCGAAAAATTACATAAGTAAACGTGAAACGGAATGTACATTTAACTATATTCTAACGTTTTTGATGTTGTATCTGTCACAGTCATCTCAAAATGCGTAAAATGAATCGCTAGGCCGGCCATTTTTTTTAACATTGACAGCTATCATTTACGCGTTCCGTTGCTTCCGAGTTTACGTAAATGTACTCCTGTGTTTCGACGACTTGGCTACCCCTTTGGACACTGATTTGATTGCATCTCCGGACGACTTTGGCTTACTCATTGGACACAGATAAGAAAGCTATGTCAGCAACCGACCGAGATTCGGAACCCAGGCGTCTACGAGCTGAGGGTTGGGTGGAGCTGTGACTGCCACCGATTCGACAGTTTGTGTGATTGATTTCTTCGTGGATCGACGTTTAAATTCGGAGAAAGTAGTTAAAATGTGTAACATATCACAAACTATCAAACAACGGACCCATGAACAGTTTTGCTTTTGCTCAAGCGAATGGAATGGTGCACTCTCAAAAAATATACCGCACACACCGTACAACCATGCGACTGGCTAAATTGGCTTATAAATCGGTTGGTGTTTGGATTTGCACGAATGGCCAATGTAAGCTAAAAGGAAAAAATATTATGGACAGCTAGAACCTTTTTTGAACATATTCATATTCCGTTGATGCATGTATTTTATTTAATATATGCTTATGCTAACAATTGGAGCTACGAAATGACGATGAATGAGGATCCGTACAAGGTAAAGAGGGAGCACTGTTTGGGCAGAACTACAATTGTTGATTAGTTCAGTTACTATCGAGAATCTATAGTCATTTACTATTTGGAAAAAATGGAGCAGTGGAAATATTGGAGGCCCAGGAAAAGTTGTGCAGATTTAAATATTTACGGATAATTTTTACCCATTTTATCGCGTACATTAACTTTTTTATATACCCGACGTTTCGAGTACTTTACAGCACCCACGGTCACCGGGGGACTGGGAGATGGTTGCTATAAAGTACTCGAAACGTCGGGTACATAAAAAATATACGCGATGAAGTACGTAAAAACTTGTATTATTTAAATGTGTAGTATTCGCGTAAATATAAGATAGTTGTTCAGATTGATGAGTCAAAATTTGGGAAACGGAAGTATAATAAAGGTAATTTTGATTTATTTTGTTCTATTTGATCTCTTAAAGTTCTAATTAAAGTAATTTATGTTTATTGTAGGACGCCATATTGAGAGCTATTGGATTCTTGGAATGATTGAGGATGGGTCTGAGAATCTGCGATTAGAGGTGTGCCTTAACAACATATGTTCCGCTGAGGTTTTGGTGTCCTTAATTAAAAAACATACAGAGATAAGCACCACAATTCATACAGATTTTTGGAGAGCATATGACTCCTATCTATCCTATCTCTAAGAATCTAGAGGAACATGATGACACACAACACTGGGACTCATATACAAAGAATAGAGTCACAATGGCAAGCCGTGAAAAGTTTTTTATGTTTATAAATTAAAGTATTTAAAAAAAAAAATTAATATTTTGGTGTTTTATTGAGTGCAAGCAAGCGAGCTCGGGACTTGGGGCACCCCGACTCGGACAGTTTAGATTAGAAGGGGATGTCACATTTGAATGAGCAAAGCGAATAGACCCTGCCTTCTTGGTTATATTTTTATAAACCACTCAGAAGTAGGAGCCCTGCGACCGGGCTTCCCTCAACTGCGTCAAGTTGAGGAGTGTGGAGCTTCCCTCCCCCATAAATCAGGTTTATATTGTCAAAAACATTACGAAAACATAACCTCAAAATGAGATTTTTTAAATTAAAAAAAACTAAGTATGCCTGACAGGGGGGAAGTATGAGGTGAATATAACACCCCCTCCCCCAACCACGCCCTAACTCAGGGGGCTTACTTTCAAACCGTACCCAAAGAAACTTTAAAAATTAATTGGGCACAGAACATTAAAATATTATATTACTACTTAATTAAAAATTATTCTAGGTATGTGGACAGAATATGCTTGTTACCTGAGCTACGGCTGCAGCTGCGAGGATAGCAGCCTGGGTAGCGGGGTTAATAGAGCCGTTTGTGGTGACCTGCCGCGCGGTAGCTTTTGTAGTTGTACCCACCATCTGATCCAACAAGGCAATTGTGCCATCCCTGGAGTAAATATATTATTTAAGTAAATAAAAAAATTACAATAAAATATTGATTTTAGTAATGAAATTAAATAATAAGCAGTTAGTGTAACAGAGGTAGTATAGAGAAATGATAAAAAAATCACCTGTCCTTGGACTTTCTTCCGCGACTTCGACTCCGCGAACGGCTCCGGCTTCGTCGCTTTTCCTTATGGCGATCGCGGTCTCTGCTACGACTACGCTCCCTGTCTTTTTCCCTGAAAACAAAAAAGGTAATATCAATTTAGTAAGAAAACCTCCATTATCATATTTGAAAATAAAACATGAATCGAACATCATAATACATTTATGTATATGTATAATATATATTACATTATTTATTTTCTTTAAGCCCCTGAGCCGTGGTAGCTAGCACCGGCCATAAATTTCACACTACGTGAGCAACCCGGGTTCAATCCCCATCGGCACCAATGAAATAGTGATTTACCATGTGACTGGCGGTAAAGAAAAACATCGTGAAGAAACACGTGTCTGGGAAATAAGAAAAAAAAATATTTCGAAGACATGTGAAGTTCGCCAAGATGCATCGGGGTAGGGCGGCGGACATTTTCTTACCCTAAAATACTCTCAGAAATAAGAGAAGTTCTGTGTCCAGATGTGCGTATATAGGCTGTTACTTAAACTTTTAATTGTATATTATTACAAAAGTAAAAGTAAAGTAAAGTTACAGCCTATATACGTCCCACTGCTGGGCACAGGCCTCCTCTCATTTCTGAGAGGATTTATATTATTATAACTAATAATAATAAATATAACTAAAATATTGTCGAACTGTTGTATATTTATTAAAATGTTATAGTAGTGTAACTATAGCAGTCACCTAAAGGTCAAAATTAGACCATAATTCATTAAATCATGCATCAGTAATGCAAAAATCATACGACAAAGGAGTTTTGCCTTATTTATGGAAAACGGCTTTAGTGACTCCTGTTTACAAAAAGGGAAACAAATTAGATCCTGCAAATTATAGACCGATAAGCTTAACTAGTGTGGTGTGCAAAGTCATGGAAAAGATAATAGTTAAGCACATGAGGCAGTTCCTTAACAAACAACAAACTATTGGTAAACAGCAACATGGTTTCTGTCCTCATAGATCAACGATTTCCAGCTTGATGTCTTGCTTATCATCCTGGGTCAACAGTCAAAATGATCGAGAACCAATAGATGTTATATATCTGGATTACGAAAAAGCTTTTGATAAAGTACCAATAGGCAGGCTTTTACATAAATTGGAATATGTTGGTATTCGAGGGAAACTGTTAACTTGGGTTGAGAGTTTTCTACGACAAAGAACTCAGAGTAAGGATTAGCGATACATTGTCAGATGAAAAAGAAATACAAAGCGGTGTGCCACAAGGTTCTGCACTGGGACCGGTATTGTTTATACTGTTTACCTTTGATCTACCAAAAAGCTTGAGTTGTAATGTAAGTATGTTTGCTGATGACACGAAGATATTCGCAAACCCACTAGTAGACTATGATCGCCTTCAAGCAGATCTAATTAAAATATCAGATTGGTCAAAAAGGTGGCTTATTAAATTAAATATAAATAAATGCACAGTCCTCCATATAGGAAACAGAAACCCTCGTTTAATATATAAAATCGATGATATACCTTTGGAAGAAGTTAAAGTACAAAAAGACTTAGGTGTGCATATAAGTAACAATTTAAAATGGAATCATCATATAACAGTTATAACTAAAAAAGCAAATAGTTTTATTTACCTGATTAGAAAAGCCTTCGGACATCTTACACCAGAAATGATGCTAAAAATACATAAGGCATACATTCGACCTATTTTGGAGTATGCGTTCCAAATCTGGAGCCCCTATTTCAAAAAGGATATTGAGTTACTGGAGAAAGTTCAACGTAGATTTTCAAAGGTCCCTAGAGTATTGAAAAACATACCATATGAGGAAAGGTTGAATAAGCTTAAACTAACGACACTGAAGGATCGCAGAGAACGGGGAGACTTGATCGAAGCATATAAAATTATACATGGACACTACAATCTGGAAAATTTTGACAGAGATTTATTCCAGTACTCAACAAACACACATCTTAGGGGACATCACTTCAAATTAACCAAAACCGTGTCACATAACAACCCACACAAGCACCTTTTTAGCCAAAGAGTGGTTGAAGCATGGAATAAACTGCCATCAGAAGTATCTGCACAAACTATTGACCAATTCAAGAACAGATTAGACAAACATCTAAAATAAGAATAATTACATATTTGAAAATAGGATACGGGCTTACATCAGTTTTTTCAACTGCTAGCCTGTTAAGTAATAATAATAATAGTAATAATAAAATGTTTATAATAAGCAAGCTGTATTTCACTAACAACTGCATTAAATCATTATGCCAGAAATTATTTGCTGCCAACATTTTTAAATTTTCAACAATCTCTACTCTGTGCAACTGTTTGATTACAGACTATTAAGTGTTTGACATTGGCCTCACACTAATAATATACCTCTGCTCATACTTACTCGGAGACATTGGCAGTATGAATATCAACAAACAGCATAATTTGTCCAAGAGACAGCTTTATGTGTTTGCCATTGACACAATGAATGTAAAAAATAAATGTTTTTTTTTTTAATTATTTTAATGTAATTGTTACACATTAATTATTATAAATTTTAGCTTTTCACACTCTTAACTCGATATAAACTTTAAACATGCCAAATCTAACACTTCTTCATGTGTACAATATGCTTAAAAAGGGGTAAAAAGTTTTCTCTTAACATATTATTTTTTATAGAAGAGGGGGTAAACAAGCATACGGTTCACTTGATGTAGGTGCGTTGCCGGCCTATTAGAAAGAAGTAAGCTCTTTTTCTTGAAGGTCCCCAGGTCGTATCGGTCGTGGTAAATTATTACACAGAGGTCGTACGCAGAAGAAAACTCCTAGTGAAACGTACAGTGGTGGACCGCCAATCCAGATGGTGTGGATGGTCCCCGTGATAGATGCGATGAAATACGCAAAGAGATGCAACCACTCTCTTTTCTTCGCAGCGCCAATGATTCAAGCTCCAATCAATCAAGCAAAATCGGAAAGCACTCGGTCGTCGACGATTCGAACCGCTCTGCGTCAGCCCAGAAATGGGAACAGTATTCCATGTGCAACCGAACCTGCGCCTTGTAAAGTTGCAGGCGGTGTGCCAAATAGTGTGTGTGAAATAATGTCCCGCTCTGCTGAGCACGCCAAGCTTTTTAGTGACCAATTTGGCCTTCTCTTCTAAGTGACCACGAAACTGGACGTCACTCGATATGTCGACGCCAAGGATTCCGATACTGGCTGAGGCAACAAGGGGAGTGCCTTGAAACTGTGGAGATACGACAAAGGGGTTCTTTTTAGCGGTTAACGCGCAAACTTGTGTCTTTTGAGGGTTAAACTGAACTAGATTTAGTCGCTCCCAATCTGACTTTGTTCAGCAAGGACTCGACTTCAGACACAAGTTTGTCCCGGTACTCAGAGACGTTTTCCCGAGAATTTTGGCACGGCCAGTGTACAGAGCATCACCAGTGCTGTCATCTGCATAGCAATGACTGTTACGGGTTTGCAACATATCATTGATATGCAGAAGAAACAGCGTTGGAGATAGCACGCAGCCTTGTGAAAGACCAGCATTAATAGGCTTGTAATCGGAGCTTGCACCGTCTACAAAGACCTTGATGCTGCGATCTGCAAGAAAGCTGATGATCCAATTACACAATTTCTCGGGAAGCCCATAGGAAGGGAGCTTCGAAAGAAGCGCTTTGTGCCAAACCCGATCGAAGGCCTTCGCAATGTCCAAACTAAAGGGCCAATGCCTCCCACTTGGACTCTACTGCCGACTATGAGTCAGGTTGGATGCAAAGAAAGAGCCTAGCAGATCGGCTTTCTTCTTTGCGGCATGAGCCAGTGAGTCGTCCTCCCTGTGCAGAGATGAAGGGAAATCTGACAGAAATTCCCCTGGATAGCCTTGGCGAGAGACCAGAATGCACGGGTTACAGAAAGGGAACTAATTTCTCGCCAATTCTGCCTATGTGCTCTGACTTATTAATATATAGATAGATAGAAAGTGTCTAGTTTGCAACCAGTGACTATTCTACTGCAAGTATTTAGGTACACTATTAATTATCTTTTATTTAACACTGTTGGAAGACTTAGGAAGTCTTTAGTAGGCTGCTCACCAGGCTGAACACCTTGCCTGGTGGGAGATCTCCCCTTTTCCTTCTATGACCAAGTGCTTTATATAAGGTAAGAATCTGCCCAGTGAAGTACTACCCTTTGCTAGAACACTTACTTCCTTGTTTATGCTATGACCCTGGACTCAATGATTAAGCTTGTATTTTGAATGAGGCATTGAATCTTGCAAGATTTAAATACTAAACAGGATATCATATGGCTACACATTCTGGGACCAATGTTGTAAACAATTGCCTTTGATTAATCCAAAAGCTTTACTTGCAATTTAGGCATGTTCATTGCTGATATAAAAATACTTCAACACCACTCATAGACTTTCATCTTCGAGAGGACCTAATTAAAATATCAGATAAGACAAGAGTGGCTTGTTAAATACAAACAAATACACAGTCCTTCATACAAAAGAAAAAAGATTTAGGTGTGCATAATAAAAGTAATGTTCTAAAATGTGACAAAACAATAGTGATAATTAAAAAAAATAGTTTTTATTATTATATTGGAGAAGCCTTTGAGCATGTCACACTAGTAATGATGCTAAAAATATATAATACATATTTAACCTATTTTGAAATATGCATTCCAAATCTGGAGCCCTAATTTAAAAAAAAAAAATCAAATTACTAGAAAAAATCGAAGCAGATTTTTGAAAGCTCCTAGAGCATTGAAAACAAAATCTTGTATGGGGAAAGGCTGAAAACCCTCAAATTTCCAACTATGTAAGATCACAAAGAACAAGGAGACTAATTTAAACATATGAAATAACAACACACAATTATTCCAGTACACAAACAACAACATCTTAGAGGGCATAACCTTAAAGTAGCTTTTTAAGCTTAAGAGCATGGAACAATGATGAAGCATGGAAGAAGCTACAATCAGAAATGATATCAACACCAAACCATAAACCAATTTAAGAACAGATTAATAAACAACTAACCTAGAACAACTACAGATTGGAATACTGGATACAGTTGCTCACCTAACTGCTGCCC